GGATAAACTCATCTCAGTTCCTGGACATTATTATTATTTAATTGTATTGCTGCTAATGAGAAAGAATAAGCGTCTACAACCACAGCGATGCTTTTCAGTGAAGCGCTAAAAGTAGCACGCTAGAATGCTGATATCTGGCAAGTAAGTTTGACCATCTTAGTTTATTGTTTTAGCTTGCTAATATTTGCTAAACACAAAGTGCAGACTGGCAGGAAAACCCTTAGTTTTGCAGATATTTATGCTGCAAACCAAAGTATTCGATAAAGTGAAATTTTGACCTGATGATGGCAAAGGAAACGTTTCTCAGGTTTTTCATATTCCAAATTTTGTGCCTATGCATCTGGCAGATGCATAGATGTTTAACTGGATAATTGATCAATTTGACCTGCTGGTTGCGCTAGATGAAAGCCCTCATACCTAAACAACCCAGCTGGTTCCAAGAAGACTCATAAGACTTTTTCAAAAATGATCTGATCTTCCACCCATATTGTTGGAATACAGTTGACATTTGTCAGCTAATGATGATTTGGAGTTCAGTGATGAAGAGATTTTCTCTCATTGAATTTCTGCCTTTTCAGCCACCTCCAACCTCATGTTCCAGCTTTACAGAGCTCCTCTCATTCACACAGTCTTACATCATTCAATCTGGCCAATCATCATTCTTCCGCACACGCACACACACACATCTTTATACGTCTGAATTTTATGAAGGTGCTTCACAGTGATGGAGTCTAAAAACGATGCCATCAAAAGAAATACTGTGTACATTTCTAAATGATCACTCCTCATTGAACAGAAGCTTCACTAGGAGCAGGTTAACACTGTGGTTATTGTTAGAAAAAAAGATTGTTTGTTATCATGGTTAAAAGAGATCCACTTTGACCAATGACAGGAACAGGATGAGAACATTCACTAGAAGTGTGAGATGAGATCAGAAAGGTTCTGCAGATTTTAATCAAATGGATTTTTTTGATTTTATTTATCAGTAAAAATAATAGCACAGTAGTGGTATTCGGTTGAGTCTCCCTTCATCAAGTCAAATCCTGATTTTATAGCATCATATGGCCATTAAATAGTAAATGTCAGCTACAACAGCCTCTATGAGATATCTTTACATTCTTCTCTGCAGTTGTAGTTTTATGATTTTGTCAGGGTTGATGGTCACAAGTCAGCAGTTGAATATAAATCTTACAGATAAAGTCTTTTGGAGAGTCAAGCCCTTTTCAGAGGAACTGAGAGCTCACTGTATTTGAGGGGAGCTTCAGCTTCTGCTAAATCCCTGTTTAAACCCCATATAGAGATCCAGAGGGGCTGACTGGCAAAGACTAGGGGTTAAGGAGATCATTCAGACAGATGAAGATGATGCACGGCTTCCTCCCCTCTCTCCGTCTGCCTTTTGTCTTTCTCTCGGAGCCACACACATACCCCTTCACACCATCCTCTTCCTCCCTGCACTTTATCTACTCCATGCAACCTTGTACACCCATTTCTCTCTCTCTCTCTCTGGCTGCTGTCCAACTTCTCTGTCGTCGTCTTTCATCTCTTTGGCTGAGACAGGAACAGGCAGATTAAAGAGAGGAAGAGTATTAAGGGAGCCATTCTTTCTACCTCTTTGTGATGGGCGGGTTACCGGTAGCGCAGCAGAGCCCTCCCTCTGCTGAGCTTGGTCATTAGAGAGGCTGCAGAGCAGTGGGGGGAAAGTAAGCCTGAGGGAGTGTTTATAATACCAGAATACAGAGCTTGTGAGACCCTGGTTATATAGTACATTTCTGTTTAATCTTATATTTTAAAATACATTAAATACATGAATTAATAAGTGCATTAAAACAGTAGACAGAGCAACTGACACATGTTAAGCAGCACTGATGAACAAAATGGGTCCAGAGCATCAGAACACTGCAGAGATTCGTACACGCAGACTGCAAAAAACGTTGCTCGACAAATGAGAGATGAATATGAGAGCTCCACCTGTATGGCACTTTGTCTAAAGAAATTGGTCACAGACCAATGGCAATGCCTTCGGAAGCAATTTGATCAGCGTCTTCTCCAAGGACACTTCAACATGAGGAGCCAGGAATCAAACCGCAGATCTTCCGATTAGATGACGACCCACTCTAGCTCTGAGACACAAGCTCTCGAATAGTTATGCGTTGGTCACAGGTGTGGTATTGTGTTTGTTTTGATTCGTGGAATGTGTCACAATTACCCAGAAAGGAATGTACTCGCGTTGCAAAAAGCAGCTTGCATATTGAAAATTTGGTGAAAGGCGGTAAAAGTTTCCAATTTGAATTATTCTAATTTAAAAACACAAGAGCTTTCTGGTGTCTGTCTTTTCTGTTCAGATTGTTGAGCCATTATTTGAGCACTGCCACTTTTCCACTGTGCCTCCACAACTCTGACAGACACTATGATTTGTGATGTAACCACCAAGCCTTTGCTCCTGCAATGTAACGTGTGTGAGAGAAAATTGTCGATCAAATTTCTCAAGTACAATTCAAAGAGTATACTTTTATTAAATATTGATGTCACACACATGGATAGCGGGATGTTAACGTTTGAAGGAAAACAGCATCACTTAACGCCCTTGTGCTACCTTGCTCTACAGTGAACAGCTGTTACATCACCCTTGAATCATTCATTCTGAACCCCCCCCATCCAAAAAAAAAAAAAAAAAGAGTTGAGGTAAAGGCAAAACCTGTGGAATGTAAAATGGCTCTCTGGTTTCTACAGTGAGAGATCAAAAGATGACGCAGCACGCAGTAAAGTGTCGACCTATACCTCCAATTACACAATCCACCCCACACACATGCCCTTTAAAAAAGTATTTGGCTTTGTTATTGCTTTTGTGCATATGATTTCTCTCTGGTGATTTCACATGTGTGAAGCATTGGAACTGAGCCTCTTTTTTCCCCCCTACAATGTCCTTAAAACGGATCAATGTGAAATATCATCCAAGTGTGTGTTCCCTCTTCCTTTTGATGATTCATTCTATTCACTTACAGTATCATGGGGCCACCTGTAACTGTAGTCCGTTTGGTCTTCAATCAATACTTCAGATTATTTTGTGAACTACTCTCTCATCTTGGCAAGAGTTAGATAAGATACCATGTCTGTCCATTAAATATGGAGCTACAGACATCCGCCAGTTAGTTTTGTTCAGAGATTTAAAGTACTGGAATATTTTACTCAAGTAACATTACACAAGCACTTGTACTAAGTAGGCTAATTTAGGTCACTTAATGAGTAAACTGCGTTACATTTACAAAAATGTAAAGGGTCAGTGTTGACAAAAATGAAGGCTACAGTTGTATAAAAGAGCCATTAACTTATAAAATATGTCAACATCTACTCATCACACCCCTGTGACTTAACCAGAAATATGGACAAAACTTAAACAAGTCAACAACAACAATAAATGGCCAACAATGCATAAAAAGAGCGAATGACATCATTATAAAACATCACCAATACAGACACAACACGGATTTACACAAACAGAAGAAACTCCACAGCAAAAAGAGCTGCAGCTTTTGCCCAACATGTACTGCGCGCACACGCGCGCGCACACAATGTAACGTGCAATACGGGCACTAATTGACGTTTTGCTCTGGAGTTACATTCACAGCGTGTTTGTTTTACTCACCTGTCTAACGACTTTGTGTGAGTCTTGAGCCACGCGAAGTCCTCCGCGATGTGCTCCAGGTTCAACTCTCTTGATTATACTCCACGCATAATAAAACGTCCACTCAGCCGGTTTTCAAACGTTTCGTGCAGAATAAAGCTCTGCAGTTATTGTCCCAAACACTCTCTAAATGTAAACGTTTCCGCGTGAATACTTCATAGTTACCGCTGTAAAATCCACCGGGCATTGTAGCATTTAGCATATTAGCCGATCCAGAATGCACATGTTGATCACGCAACAACTTAGGTGTGTTTGATTTGGGTCACCTGGCGTGCTGGCTGGGTGGGCAATCAAACCCATGATTAATTAAGGGAAGAAGCTACCTTTTTTTTTCAATCATTTTCATTTCCTTTGCAGAGATACAATCATGCTAAACTGTAATGAATTACATCTTTATCATGCTGCATTGTTGCACTGTTCTCAAACTGCTCAGCTGGCCCAGGTGCTGCACACCCCGGACAGTTCAGGTACACATTCAACATGTCAGATCTGCCCGTTTGTTGCTGCAGACACACCAGCAGCTTCTTCTATGTTGCAACTGCTGATTTAATAATAATAATCATAATATTAGTGACTATAATAATAATGATTTGGGATTCAGCTCATTTCTTTTGTTGCATTATTACACTTTTTATGTGACTTTGTTTTCACCCTGTAAGGAATGTAGCCTACAATGCTTTAGATAAATACTAATTCAGGATTCATTTTTAAATAAGCTACTTTTTTGTTAAAAAGTACACATGTGTACAATGAACCCAACTTTTTTGAAGTAACAGGAGTAGATGTAATTCCTAACTTGCATCCCTGGTGTAGTTTAGCATACAGACCTACCATCACCTCTAAAGATCACTCATTCCTGGAGTCTTGGAATTGCTGTGACATTGCCAGAAACCAGCAGAGTCTCCAGGAAGTCACTGAAATAGTCCCAAACACAATCCCACATGAAACCAACACTTTAGTTTTTGAATGGATTGAACAAACATTGTAATTAGTCAGCTTTAGAGGGGCTGCTAGGGCAGATTTTGTGACCTTCAGACAGATCCAGGCTCGCAGCCCCCCGTTTCCAGTCTTTATGATAAGCTAAGCTAATCAGCTGCTGTAGCTTCATATTGAACAGACAGTGGTATCGAACTTTTGGCAGGAGAGCACATATGTGAATTCCAAAGTGTCAGACTATTGCTTTACATTTGAGTAGGAGGGAACTAGAAGTAGTTTTTACGTTTTGGCACCAATCCAGCGTCTCATGAAGATGCTTCTTAAAGCTGAGGTAGTGATTCAAATAAACAATGACTGAAAAGAAATGATAACAGAATAGGAATCAAAGCTTGGAGACATAGCTTTATCAGCGATGGATTAAAACACTTTCCACAACATTCTTCCACAACTACTTTGTCTAAAGATGTCTTGTTCTGTAATGATATGACCAAATCACTTCTGGCTCCACAAGACTAATAGTCATTAAGTTGCAAACACACCGCATGACAGATCCATCCTTCACGCTGTGGAACTGTAATCTTTCCATCCTTTTTTTTCAAACAGTGTTGAATCATTTCAGCAATTGCATTTAAATATCACATATCAGTCCAGTGATTTAAACTGTTAAAAATAAAAGTCTTTGATAGAAAGTTAAGTACAAAATCTGGACAGCCAAGTGGGCTATGTTCCAACAACAGTCAAAGCTCCTCAGCTCCTGCATTTCAATTTGGTGCGGTACCTGGGCGGTGCGCTGTCAGCAGGATCTGTGTTCCAGTTGGGTGACTGAGCCTTCCTGGTATTGAAACACGATGAGAGTGAAGGCGAGTCTCACACCAGCCAATGGAGTCATCAATAATAAGACAAGGTGAGCAGAAAGGGTGGGTGTAGGGTTATCTGGGTACAGCACATGCACTTCCCATTGGGCCGCGGGGGCAGACAGGGCCGCAGAGAGGCGAGATATGGCTTGACGCTCCTGGAATCTGTGATTTGACATCAGCTCCGTGTGAGAGTCTGTCAGAGGCCAGGAGAAGGTCTTTGAGCGCATCGCCGCTTCCCCTTTAGTCTAAGACTTTGGGTTTCATCAAAGAGGTCTGACTTGCAGGGCACAGAGAGTGGCTGAGCAGCATGGCGGTGGCCGGAGGTGGTCGGCTTTGAATAGACGCTGAATAGTCATTCATCCCACAAAGTCAGTCTTCCTCTTCCACGTAGGTCGAAGGGAACCAGCCCATCTTAGAGGCAACAAAACAGGATACAATTCAGGCAGCATCACATATATTTGACAGGATATATTTTTCATGAACTTCTTTTATTATCTCACTCTTTCTCCTAATTTTGAATGGTGAATTGTCCTCATACTTGGCACCCCCAACTCTACTCTACATGGCGCTTACAGTGAGGAGCTTCACAGATGTTGCATAATGCACACACATACGGAGATACAAGATCAAACCTCCCTACATGCCGGTGCCGTAAACACTCAAATATAAAGTGTTTGTATGGTCAAAAATTACTGATTGCGCTTTAAATAGTTTAAACACAAAATTATTTGTGACTATTTACCTCAGCAAATGCACTGAAACTACTGCTAAGACAATTAAACCCCCATAAGACAAAAAAATAACATTTTTCTCCCTTTAAAGCTAGGGTTGGTAACAGTGAGAAAACAGCAAGAGTATATTAGATTTTTAAAATATATTTAACTAAAAAACCCAGCCCAGTGTTGCCAACTCTTTTCCAATGAAAGTAGCTTGCAGCATTAGCTCCGAAAGTTGCTAAATCTAATGAGAAAGTTGCCAAGTTGGCAACACTGACAGCACGTCCCTTCAGGCAATCCTCCAAAGCCACTTACCCCTAATTCTCACAATGAATGTAAACAAAGAACATTTGAAATACTGATTGCCGTCTGGATGTAATGAGAATTTCAACAAATATAACAAAAAAATGCAATTATATAGAATACATGTGTAAAGCAAATCTACATCAGCTACCACAGTATATGGTAAGAGCACAGATGGCACAAAACAAATAAATAAATAAAATGTGGACAGAAATGTGCCACAATGACAGGATCCTACAGCAGACCTACCCTGCCGTCGATCTCTCCCTTCCACCACCCATTGGACATCTTGGTGTAGATCTTGATAATGTCTCCCTGCAGCAGGGAGAGCTCCCGTGTGTCTCTGCAGCAGAAGTCATAACGGGCCACTGCAACACCCACCACCCTCGGAGAAAACACTGAGACAGAGACATCTTGTCTCATTTTGGAGAAACATCTTCACTCAATTTCAAAAAAAAATTCTGAGAATACTCAGAGATATTTAGAATGAGTTATTAAAGTTTTAAGATCAATCTTTTGACTACAAATGGCCAAGAATTATATTATCTCTGATGCTGTGATTATGCTGCTCTCTCCTCTCATTGGTCCACCAATAACTACTATATTCACAAAATCAAAGAGTCACGCTCCGGTCAACAGTTTAATCTGAATCTAAAAGTAAGTTGCATATGCTCTTTGGTTTGTCACTTGAAAGGGAAAGGATGCTTGCTGACTAACTGGAAACTTTACTTCAAACTGATCTTAATTTTAAATTCTAATAAAACTTTGACAAAAAATGTTAAGCCAAGGTCCATACCAAACTACCAACAAAGTACTAACAAGCCTTTTGGGACTCCAAGGAAGATCACAGGGCTAACGCTGTTTCTCTACCTTTAGTATACAGTAGTATATATTATCAGTATATCGCTTTGCATGTTTGTAGTTTGTACGAGGTTAACATTACAACGGCATGAAGCACATTTCTCACAGGTACTATCCACAGTAAATTGACTATGGCTATCTTTTAAGGACGATAAGGAAGCAAAAAACTGCGACTCTTTGGCCTGATTCAAACAGAGTAAGAGCAAAACCACAGAGTCATTGATGAGGGACAAATATATAGATCTGCCCAGCTTGGCTGTGACAAATGCACAGTAGAGAAGACAGGTCATGGGTTATCATAGTCATGTATTGATCTCATTAAAGTTCATGTTGAACGCAGTGCTTATCAGGTTGTACAAGGTTATTCCTACACATGCAGGTCGGTGCTCACATCACTTGGGAACACAGGTGTGCATCGTTTTTTTTTACCTTATCTGTGACAAATACAGGTGACACAACTGGGAAGATATGCTGGATGAAATATACCTACTCCCTCATGCACACCCAGAAGCTCAAGTCCACACATACATGCATGCATATACATGCTTATGCACACAAAGGCAGGCACAGACAAAGATATCCTAACAGACTGTTGTGCTGAATATATGCCGTAAAATGGGAAAACCACCCACTTACAGCATTTACTGACATTGTTAGCCTTATAGTTATACCTATTTCAAAATGTATATTATGTCTAAATTTGCTATTTTTCTTGTGTAACATATTGTTTGTGTTTCATTGACAAGTAAAAGCATACAAACTAAAATGTATGACCACAAGTGACAATGATAATTGTAGAATTTAAGTAAAATGTAAATACCAGCAAAGGTTGCTTTGCAGCTATTTGCCACTGGTTTGTTGACAATCCTGCAGTTATCTTCACATAGTGGGAGACATCAGAGCTCTCAGAAAATCACAATACTTCCAATTTGGATTCACAAGAGGCTGACTTGAGTGTTTTTTCCCCACATGGCAACCCATACGGTCCGCGCAATACGACGCAAAAGCGGAATCATTAGACTACATTATTTCACAAAGACAGGAAAAATAAGACAGTTTGTCTTTGGAAATCTGGAAATGTGGGCATACAGCAAGGGAGAGACTAAGAGAGTAGAAAAGATGTACCTGTACCTGACCAGAAAGGCGAGGAGGAGGGAGGAACAAAGCTGCAGCCGCCAAGAGGAACTACAGAGAAACAGAGCGAGTGATGGGTGGATTGGGGGAGGGGTGTTCAGGCCGTAGTGGGAGTAAAGAGAGAACACAAGCAAAGTAAATATAAGTTTGACAGAAAGAGAGTATGGCAGAGGGTAAAATAGAGAGAAAGAGAGAGAGAGGAAAAGTTGGCAAAGTCAAAGAACAAGCAAAATGCAAAGACGGGTCGGAGAGCAGAGTGACAGAGGAGGGTAGAAACAGTGAGATATACTTTGGTCTGGGGTTGTTTTTCATTATTTCGGCTCTGCCAATAAGGTTTCATTTAAAGTAAGTCTTAATGCTACAACATGACATGATATTTTCAGACAACATACCGCAATCCATTGTACTCAGAAGAAAAAAACGACTTCGGACACGGAAAAGTGCAATGGAATGGTCATTGAAGTCAAAATTCCAAGTGGGAAAATCAGACAAGCATTATCTAGCGCGAGTTTGTCAACATAAACACACCTGATGTCACAGCAGCATGACATCCCACACCGTGAATTATCTTTTCATCATTTTTTACTTTATGTAATGTTTTATGTAGCGTTTGTGTTGTGAAACATACTGAAACAACATTGTTGCTGTCAAATCCATTCATATTCAGTTGATTAGTGCTTCGTTGCGAGCATGCAGTGTTAGTCCACTTCTCCCCTTCTCTTGTAACAGGGTGACCACAGAGTCTTGAAAAAGATTTTCAGAAATATTTCCCCACAGGATTCTATAGTTGTTCATTTAAATAGTTACTTCATACACCATTTCTCGTCTCTGTGATAATAGATGTACGTATGTCCTCTGTAGATGCTCGTGAAGTTCAGAGAGTTGCTGTACAAATATCAGTTAGCTGGGACGCATTTAGATCCGACTTGCAATGGATTGCAGTAATAATGTGCTTCCAACCTTTTAGTAACATTTTGGAGAGGGCCCTTTCCTTTCTCAACATGACAATGAAGCCCAAAAACGTACCAAACACAGCAAAACAAGAGGAAAAGAGAAAATACAAGCAGGGGGCAGGGTCTTGGTAAATACAGACACTGCTAGACACTTCTAGTGGGGCATTAGTGACGATTGAGAGAGATTACTCTTGTAACAGTCTATACATTGGTTTTTTGGGGAAAATACTGCATATAATACAGTTAAGCTAAGACATGTCTGTTTTCAGTCTAAACGTCCACTTATTGCCCAAAAGCAGAAGCTGACTTCACTAAATTTATTGTGGCTGAATGGGAGCAAAACCCTGCAGCCAAATTTCTAAATCTTGTGGAGAGCCTCCCCAGAAGAGTTGAGGCTGTTAGCATTATGCCGCAGTATATTGATGCCCATAATTTTGGACATCGGTTGGCTACGTTGTGTTGCCTCTATAATTTTCCCCCAATCATACTGCACAAAATAGCAATAACAACCTTTTGAGCGAGCAAAAGCAGCAGTATGGGGGTAAGTATACACAGCACGGCGCCCCGACAAGGCAATCCACGCCGCCGAGCCAACGACTTATGCTTCTATACGAAATCCATCGAGCCAGCAGACCCTCACACTCAGAAAACCACCTGCTGTCACAACAACAATATGACCCTGAATTCTTCCTGTCCCCCACAGGGATAAGTAAATGCAAGCCAGTATGTGTCATATGTTTGTCTGACCAGAGGGCACGCAAACAAATATACACCTACCTGCAGGAAGTATATACAGTACAAACAAACAGATGTATGTATGCACTGTATGTGTGCATGTATAAATAAACATGTACTGAACATACAACCATAAACTAGCACAAGGATTTGATACGACAGCTGATACAGTTTAGTATGATCAAACTAAATATCTTGCACTAAATATCTCCACTAAATACCATTTTGTAGTGACACTTCACTACAAAATGGTTTTAGATTATTTCCAATCCCTAACATTCACACACGAACACAGACGGCAAGCAATCAGCCAGAGTAAATTAAAGATGCGGGCTTTTGGTTCTCCAAACAAATGACTCCGAAGTTTTGAGGGTTTTTCAATAGTTCTGCATCTTTTGATCGTTTGCTCAGCCTTGCATTCTGTTTTCTTTGCTATGAGGTGACTGTTTTGGGATTCAAACCATTTTGTGTGTGTGTGTGTGTGTTTTTTTGTTTTGGCATGACATCTGTCTTTCCACGGAGGCTGTTTACCAGACAGAGAACGTGGTGCCCACACTAAGTCTGTCTATGGGGGTGGACGACTTAAGGCAATAATAATCTATCCCAGAATGCATTGAGGATCTGTCAAGGCTTTCTCACAGAAGGAAGCGCTGTGAATGGCAGCAATGCACAAACACACCTCTCGCAGAGCTGCTTTGAAGCCAGATGCGCTGGGAGACCGACGCTGCCAAAGGAGGCAGAGGGACAAGGATGTAGCAGAATTTTACATCCGAACAGACACAAAAGGCTAACTTTGACTTTGTTCCAGCGTTCGTCTGCTTGCCTCTGCTGCGGCGGCGGGCTGTGGTTGTTTACACGTACGCCTCTCTTTAAGTTAAGACAGTTTACCTCCAGCTGCTTTCCGCTCTTTTACATCAGATCATATTTGCAAACTTTTCACAGTTTTGCGGAAACAGGCGCAGTCCCTCAGTTGGACCAGGGGTATCCCTCAGGTGTGTGTCGGCAGCGGGCGGCTGTCACACAGTTTCTCCGCTGCCAGCCCAAGTGAAATGTCATGTCCTGTCAGGAAAATTGTGAAGCCATCTCGGAGCCGAATAGCATGCGGAGTGTGACGTTTGGAGTAGCAGGCTCCTGGTGCTTTGCCTTGGGCATTGGGCCCTAACAGGGACCTCTCTGCCAAGCCTGGTGAGCTGCCGAGGCTCCTTTCTATTTCTTTCACTCATTTCCTCTCTCACTCTCTCCTTTGTCTTTTGCTCTCCCTCTGTTACTCTCACCCCTCAACTTTGTACCCTTTGTCTCTCTTTTACCCCCATTCACACTTGGTGTTAACATGCCATCTGTATTTGGATATCTCATCTGGTTAAGGAAAAATACATTATTCAAGGTGTAGATGCACGTGGAATACGTTGCAATTTAAAAAGGATTGGATCAGCTACATCTCATCTACAGGTGGTCCAGCTTGTATTGGATCTCTCATAATGTAGTCTGTACAGTTTGGCCGCATTTTTTAAGAAATGGTTCATTATTTCCCGAAAAATACTTGTTTGCTTTCTTGCCAGGACTGATTGATACCACTCTTGTGTCTCTTGGTGATTCCTTAGCTTAGCAAAAAAAAATTGCTGGGGTCTACGGGCTTAGCCAAGAAATACTTGTCATAACAGCCCATAAATTGTTTTTAAACTTTGGTTTAAATGTATTCATGTGTGAGCTTTAGAGGTGAAGAACTCAGCAAACCGTTTCTTCCTGTTTCCAGTCTTTACACTAAGCTAAAATAGCATAAGTTGCTCTGTGTTTACTGAACAGACAAGAGAGTGGTTAGTTGAAACTAACCCATTAACTCCACTACAAAAAGCTAGAGGACCCTTTGATAAACGGGACTTTTTTCTTGTCACTTGTAACCTCCATTTCTACCTCTTTCCTTTTCTTTACTCTCTCCCTACCTCCCATTTATCTCACTCTTTCCCATTCTTACATCATTGTCTTTCTCACTTTCTACACCCTTTTTGCCATTTCCACCTCTGTTCTCTGTCTCTCTCTCTCAGACTCTCAATTCCTAACCTGCCTCTTCCTCTATTCTGCTTCTTCCACAACACCTTCCTCCTTCACATGCCTCCTCAGATTGAATGAGCATCTGCTTCTGTCTCTGAGGGCCAGTAATGACGCAGGAACTGGACTTGTTGAACTCAAGCACACGTGTACATTTATCCATGCCTATTAATAAGGCCGCCAGGCTGAAATCAAAACTGCTGCTTTTCCACTGACAGCCAATAATTACCTCATAAACACGGTGACGGTATTTAGCAGTACACAACTGGGTGCATCTTTCATTTTGACCATGTGAAAGCTTCTCATATTTGAGTCAAACACTGTTTCCATACAACATCTAATGTTAGTGTGACCCAGATGATTGTGATCTGCCATATAATATGTATAGCATCTATCAGATAACTTAAAATAATGAAACAGAGGGTCAGTACTGGTTAAATTACATGTTTTTTCCCTTTTTAATAAAAAAGTCTATCCTGTACGATTGTTTTATCTCGCTTGATTCAAGTTCAGATTTAGCAAAAGTCCACCGCCACTGATATGACACGATTTTGTGTCTATATATTGTATTTTATTTAATAATTATTGTATTCTATTTTGTCAGTAAAAAAAATAAATTTTAACATCTACAATTCCATGACAACAGGGCAAAAAGGTTGAAAGTACATTGACAGTAATGAATCATTTGACGGTATAAATTTCAACACTTTGTGATTCATCATTTGGCATGAATAAATAGAAACATGACAGATCACAATCGATTACTATCTTGGAATAAATGAGAACTAGAATATAGCACACAAAACTTATCAAATCCCTTGTCATGGATTTATTACAAAGCCAAGTTATCAAAAATATTTTGACAATATAAATGGGTTTTTTTCTGACATCACCGAACTAAATTACAGTAAGCACTATTTACTAGTTTGAGAAAGCAATGGCAAACATTTTCAGTCTGACCAAGGATAATGACAAAAGAAGACTAATCAAGCAAAACTGAAGAGGTCCATCTCCCAAAGCGCTGTTCCGCAGGGAGTCCCGTTAGCTCATTATACCGTGCTAAGTATTTCTAGCATGTCCCGATGGTCAAAGATAGGACTGCCTCAAGTATTAAGATGCAGTTTTAACTTAATAACCAAGCAAAAGCTCTTCCATCATTTTTCTACAGTTCTTAGAAGGCAGTACAGTACATCAGCTGGTCTATAGTAACAAAATATAGCAGGTGAGATACTTTTTGGGGATTTCAGCAAACTGTTTCTGCCCTTAGTTTGTTCTTTTGTTTCTATTTGATGACCTGGAGAATGTCAGGTTTTATTGGGTGTTTTGGTCATACAAGCAAGACTACTTCCCAGGGAAAAACAACTCACTTTACTTTATCTGAACTGCAGTTGCAGCAAAACTGTATCCCAAGCAGGTCACAACAAAAGCTTAGAATGGCTTTCAACTGTAACCGGCTCAAGATCTGATCTGGTAGCATTTCCCTCTGTCATACACAGTCTCAGGGAAGGAAATGTGGATGTTTGTGAAGCAGACTCACCACTGACAGTCCTGGTAATGGCCTTGGGCATGCTTCCATTGGACAGTTCCCTATAGGGGACCTGCAGAGTGGTGTCAAGACTGCTGAAACCCTCCTTCAATGAATGCTGCTTGTAGTATTCCACCAAGTCCTGTGTAAAACAAGCACAATCAAAGAAAACATACCCATAACAATGATAATCAGTGTGAATCTACTTGACTTTGTGTACAAATGGATAGAAATGAAAGCAAAGATGTGTGGGCAGGTTGGCTTGGCTGCTCTTTTGACCTTGATAATGCATCAGCTGCTGAGGAAGTGTTTCTAAGAAGGGCAACTAACTGCAATGTATCTTTATATCTGCCCATCTCAAGTGCGATACTGAAAACCAGCTAATATTAGCTACTGAGATACAGGCAGTTGCTTAAAACATGCGCTCGAAGCTTTGTGAGTGTGTACACAAATGGAGAAATAAACCACTAGTAGACATGTCTAACCATTGTACAATATAAATGCATGCGTTATCTCCAGAGTGCTGCAAAAGCAATGTAATGTCAAAATGATTATACTCATTAATGCTACAGTAGCTTAAATCCATACAAAGTTAAAACCTTTACCAGCACAGTCTTGAACAGCCGACTCTCAGCGATGTAAAAGCAGCCATCCTTGGTCAGAATCTTAATGTGCTTGACTTTATCGTTGAACCTGTGGAGGATGAATAAGAGATGAGCTGCTAATCAACTATACATGCTTCCACGTCAATCCAGTCTCTATGGTGAACCGTCACGAAGGTCTGTCTCCGCTGACGGCTGGTTACCACGCTGAGCTGCGCCAAGCAACTTTGTTTGGCAAGAACACCTGAGGTTTTCCCTGCTGTGGAAATCAGATCCAATACACTGAAGTCATATAATAATAGAAGCATCAAAGGATTACTGAGTCTTACCCTGTCAGACGAATTAATACTGTATACCAGTGTCTGATTGAGATCTTTCATAGCAGGGAAAACAGAAACCAACAGAGGTTTCTCTTCTTTGTTTGATTTTAAATGTAAGAAGCATTAGAGGCTAAAAGTGTGGAGTAATTAACAAGAAAACCAAATAATGTAAGAAAAAAATCATATTGAAGTATTGTTGCAACTTTTAAATAATGCAGTTAAAAGCAAAACTAATAAAGTATTATTGTTTTAAGTCCCACAAAAGAAAAGCAAAAAAGTCCCCCAAATCAACAGCAGCAATTTATTTTGTAAAATAACTAAATTAATTTTAATCCAATAATGGTTTCTTTGCCAAACATTTGAGTAGTGTGGACAAACCTAGTAGTTACTGGCTGATCAGCTTCAGGTGTGGATAACTACTTATTAGCGCGTTCCATTTGAACTGGGAAGTAGGAAGTTCCCAGTCGGAAATTTCAACTGGAACGCCCCCCTGAAGTCAGATTTCCGACTCGGGAGAGTCGGGAGAACCTCACCAACCAGACCTCAAAATACCACATAAAGCGTTCTTATCAACTGGTATTTCTAACAATGGCTACCCTGGCTAGAACTAATGTTAACTTCCCACTTGTGGTACTGGAACGCCATCACCTCGGGTGTGATGTCATTCCCAGCTCCAATCTCTGACTTCCGAGGTAAATGGAATGCAGCTTTGCTACACCTCTATAAGACAGACCCACCTCCATACCATGTACTAAATCTATAGTATGTACTACCTGCCAATCTACTGAAGAATCGCCATTTTGTACCGACAGGAAAAGATACAAATGGTGCTCCAAAAGACCACAATGAAGCTGAATGTTTTAATTTAATGTCACCGCCATTAATAATAAGTATTTTTCATGGCAAACATTTTGACAAATAGTCGGAAAAGCAAAGGAGCATTTCACATAATTAACGATAGCTTTGTTCCATTTAAGTATATTACTAACTGTCAAACGTGTGTGAGATTGTATGCTATAGGCATAAGTTAATAATTAAATTATCATTTAATCATATGTCATGTGAGAATAGTAGCTCAGGCAAGCTGCTTTGTTGAAGAATAGTGCGGACCAATCTTGAAAATACACACACTGTTCAGTGCATGCATACTGCAGGCTTCATTGCCCCCCAACATGGCTGCTGTCAAGCCAATTGAAAGCAAAATGCTGTATATTGCATGTCTCCCACGCGGTGATGTGCAAGTTACACTGAAAATAGATCCGCATTCTAAATCTTCCAATGCAATGTCTAACGCATGAGAAGCATATGATCATGTTGCAAATTCACAGATACATTATGAATATATGGCGGGTAATACATTATTGATGTGTGTTGAGTTATATGGTGCATAACACATGGAAACAGATGAGCCTTGTTTGGTTGAGTATTTCCTTCCTCCTATAGGCTCCCAAGGCTGCACACACAAACACACACAAACATCATTCAACACACACACACACACACACACACACACACACTGTAGTGTCTAGTGACACCAGACAGTTCCAGTTGATTAGTAGCAGCTCTCATATAAAGCTCCATTATCTCAAACGGCCATTCTGATAATGATCTTAAGCAGTGAGACAGGCAATTAGGATTGGAGTGTTCAGAAACCGGCTCTGTGCATCAAAGTTGTGAATGAGGGATGGTATGAGTCCACCAAACCAAATGGGCTGGAATGGTGTGTCACTGACTAAATAGTCTTAACATCCAAACACTATTTCAGAGTGCACCCTCAAATCGTTATAATCTCTTGGAGCTGTCATGTCAGGTCGGGGGCACTAGATAGTCCTTTTTTAAAGACTGAACAGGCTTTGATGCAGCCTGAAAGATTTTCGCTGGTTAAATGTCCAGTGTTGTATTTCAAAAGACAGCTACGGAGGCACTCAACTTGCAGATAAAGCAGCCATTGATTGAGGCCTAAAGGGATGGATGTTTTATCGTAAATTTCAATGCATTGCTGTAGCCTCCTTTTGAAATACATTTCTAAGACTGATAGCCAAAGTGCAGCAAATAGTATGATGCAAAGCTACCGGGCTCTCCTTGAACATATATCTGGGCAGAGGAGACGGACAAAAGATGGATGGTAAAATAGTTCAGCCAATTCCACCTCTTTGATTCAACGGAGATGCATCGACTGAGCCGACCATCAGGGTAAACTAAAATTAACCTCAACAATGTTTAGGTATGATGTAGGTTCAAACAAACCTTGTGCCGCTGACACAGATAGGGTGAATACTCAAATTAGAAAAACATATTCTAAATTACCTCTAATGTCTAGCCATGGAGAAAGTTCTGCTTTTCTTTGCCCAGATTAAGGGGTATTTATCTACCTGTAGCTCACGCGGAGTTTCATGTTTGATACTCAGAGCCTTAAAAAACAACAGGTAATTGTTGGTGACCTGGTGCACAATCCTCTTAACAGTGAACTGCTATGGTACTGAACAAGAACAGAAATAAAAACAAAATCATGAATGTAATAAGCAGCTGCTGATATGCCCACCTCTTGAGTTCAGGCTTATCGCAAACAAGAAATGTATTCACTAAATTTATGGCACAAACAACATCCTGCTGCAGGCTTCTTATGACCATGACATTGTGGTGATAAAGATATTAGTCGAATGCACTTAACTGATTCTATTTTAGCTCACAGCTAAAGTTACCAAAGTGACTTCATGAATAGCGATTCTTTCTAACTCATTGCACCTTCTTTAACAAATCCAAATGCCATTTCTCAATCTGTAGCTAACTTTCAGAATGATGAACGTCATAACCTGATTACTGCAAAATCTTTCAAATTCAAGGGGCCCCAAGTTCAACGAACAACAGTACATTTTTTAAGAGGCTGAAAGCTTTAAGACAGATGTATCAAACTTGGGCAAAACTCTTTGCTTGATAAGACTAGACAGTGAATGAGAAAATGTGTTTATTTGCAATTAGGATGAAACAACCCTTTAAACTTCATTCTCTCCCCCACCATCTAAATTTTAACATCAACTGTCATCCATCAGACCAGACAAACTTTTTTTCCATACTTCATGATAATAAAGTCACCATAACTTCTTGTTTTTCACTGGCATGAGTGGAACACAGCATGACCTCCTTCTGCTGCAGCCCATCCACTTTTAACATTTGATGGGCTGCTTGTTTTTATACACCACACCATTGTTGTGCCGAGCTATCATTTGCATGTGGGCATTTTGTTTGCTTGAATGATTCTCGCCACTCGCCTCTCAAAATAAGGTGTTTTTAGCCCACAAGACTGCTGCTGACTATGTGTGTTTTGTTTATTCCATCATCATTGGTAAACTGTAGTGTGTGAAAATTGTAGAATTAGATTAGAAATAAATGAAAACAAGCCATCATGTCACTTACTTTATACTAATGGCGTATTCAGTGCACTCTTTACTCCTGTGTCGAACCAGATAGGTGCCGTTTTCTCGGTCCAGAAGCTCCACCTCAGCCTGGTATCTCTCCATAGGACCTGCAAACCTGAACCACCCATAAACAACTGCTGCCCTTACACTGCAATCAATCACTCTGAACATGAGGATGAGAACAGTCAATACAATCAATAAAAAGTGAAAATGACTTGTGGTTATCGTAAGCAATCTACAGCCATTTGTTTTCATCGCTTACCAGAGCTGGGCAGAGTAATCGACAGGTTTTGGAACCTGGCATGGAAAAGAATTGTGGTTATTTTGTGTTTTTATGGATACACGAGGGGTGGAGGTCATTTCGGTAATATGATATTGAAGCCTCATCTAATGGCTAAAATCACTCTTCTACAGCGAAGAAGTGCAATTGAAAAGCACTACATTTCTTTGCCAAGACATCAATAGAAGCCATTATCCACCAAATGCATTGTAATCACACTAAATGTGTCTTATTGACTATGAAAAATATGCACACTTACACATGGGCAAGGCCTCACAGCATCACTTGGAAAGAAGCCAATCTTGGTTGTCGCCAGAATTTTTCCCTGCAACAGCAACTGGCTGTTAATCGCATTATATTTGTCTGGGAGCAAATACACCTCTTTCTCTCTCTTTCTCTCCTCTCTTCCCCTCCCATACTCGCTTCAATAAATCCTCAGCAATTAGCACACAACAAGCAGTACATCTAATTTGCAGCCCAAGTTAATTATGGTTCAAACTCTGCCGGCAGTTAGATTTGTACTGCATCAAAACAAGAGCCTCCTTTAACACGAAATAATGGATCTTATTCTGGTCTTTGAATATCCAAACAGCGTGAGCTCTCTGGCTTGCACTAAAGACTAACAATTGTATTTTAGCTAAACTGCCTCAAGCACAACACAAGCTTTAGAAATTCATTAATTCCTTCAACAAACATAGACTTTTTTCTCCAACTGAAAAAAAGAAATTTCGTAAAACAAATTACATGATTGTATACAAACTTACCCCTACATAGATGTATAGATCTTCAGTTTATTTCATAACCTTAATTATCTATCATGTACATCTTGTAGACATATACATATATATATATATATACATACATACATACATACATACATACATACATACATATATATATATATATATATATATATATATATATACATACATACACACACACATATATATATATATATATACATATATACTGTATATATAAGCTCAAGATAATTTGAGTTACCAGTTATGAGTTTGAGGTCAATTTGAAGTCCATTGAGTCAATCTGAGAAGACAGTAAGTGTTGAGGGGATGTGGAGCTCCTCATTCAGCTTCCTGCCCTGTTTATGCTTTCCTCCTCACTCCTCTTTATTAGAGTATGAAATGCTTTCTGGGACCGCGCAAGCCCCGGCAGTAACTAGATTGGAAAGCGAATCTTTACCCATCTCTATGATTCATTCTGTGTAATAACATTTCATCAAAGGTTTTTTGAGACCCCCTCTCTATTTGTTATGCCTTCGATAAGCGTATGATAAAGATTCAACTTATTACTCTGTTGGCATAAATAGGCAGCAGCCAAAGGATCAAATGAAATTACAGTGATTGATTGTATTGTTCTGCCAGTGGGATGGGGGATAATTGCCTTCTGGGTAACAGGGGATATGAATTCTCAATGTTCTGTAATTCCATCCTCTGGCGCCACAGGGGACGCTGAAGATTAAAGGTACCCTGTGGAGGTTTCATTATAAACAAACAGGGTTACTTTAGATCCAGTGTTTCCCACCCAAATGCATTGTGTGTGACCGTAAGATCTAAAAAAAACTTGTTGAGAGCACTTACATTGTTTTGTTTTTTGCATGCATGCATGCATCTGAGATTGTACACTTCTTAATCGTCTTCTCTTTTATGACTGCACCCTGCATTTTTCAGCTCATTACTGCCACCAGCTGTTGACATGCATTCGGCAGTCACTGCAGAATTCTTTTGTGGATATGTGAATGTGAAGAACACAGACTCCAAAACACAAATATATTTAACAGACAACATTTTATCATGATTGATACAGTGTCTATTAAATTACATTTGTGGTTTGGAGAACACTTTAATATCGCCTTGCACCCTTGTTATTGATATCGTTGCAATCATTCACAGCCCCAAAAAAGTGGTTTAAAAAAAAAAAATAAAAGCCTTGTTGGAGTATAATTATGCACAGGTCAGTTATTGACACAAATGTGTGTTATCATTTAATTCCTTTAATTATCTCCTCCCAGCATAGTTACCATGGTAACAAACAATGCAGTAACATCAGGTCTGCAGCATGACATTCTGCGAGCCGTTCTATCGGCTTACAAGAAGTCTCCTCGCATTCATGTCCTCACCCTCCACCTTGTGCTCTGTCACAACAGAGAGAAACACGGAGCATAGGAAATCAGGCTAACCGCCAACTCCCAGCCGTGCCGTTGGCAAAGACTGCAGTCTGATTGGAGCAGCACCAACTGGAGGATGAGGCTTTAATGCCACCGTAAAGCAGAGTGAGAAACAGCTAGGGAGGCTGCCGCAAGACCCCAGATAAATCGACCATCCTTTCAAAAATAGATAAGGTCAAACGCCCTCGACCTTTGGCTGACCTCATGAGATGGTTGCTAAATGTGCCAGTACATGAGGTTGTGCGCCAACCATTAAAACATCCTCCAGAGGCTCCAGTCTCTACTGTTTTATTGCCTCAGTGTGGCACTCAATTAATCAACCAAAGCCACTAATTGGTTAGATCATCTGTTGTAGGCTATGATTCAATCTGAGGAGTGAAAGAACAGACAAATACCCTATTTTTAATGCAACTGTGGTTCTGAAGAGGTCATACAGATCTTCGACGGATATTTCTAATTAACTGACCTCATAATAATATCAAATTCATGGCTCACCTGACAGGACACAGAATGTGATGAAACAACCCCAATGTAATTTGTAATTTATCAACAATAATGGCCAAAGGGAGATAAATTGTTGATGTCACCCCATTAATATATTTTTGAAAGCTTTTGCAGATAGCGGGACATCCTTCAGTAAGAGAGAAGAGGTGACACGCAACACGGCTTCAAACCCACGACACTGCAGAGACGGTGCGTGCACCAAGCCGACCCGGTGAGCCGTGACATGTTATTTTTTCATGGAGTCACAGATGTCGAGATAAAACCAAGATGAGCTGAGTGACACGCACCTGCCACCAGGAGCTGTGCAGGTCGGCAAACATCAGTTCAATGACATCCCCCGCATGAATGCTTAGTGGGGGCCCGCACTGGGGACAGGGGATGCCACTGTAATCTCTGATCACAACCATCCTGGGTAGACCTAAAGAGACAGGGAACACAAACACATCTATACTCACACTTTTAAACATTTATCAGAGTCTTATACAGAGGGACATAGAGCAGGTGAAAGAGTGTAGGCTGATTCATCATTACTTTTAGGTAATAAATCTAAAATACTGCAACCATATATGACATAAGTACAAGGGCACCACTTATGAGATCTAGGAATAAGTAATAGGCCTTTGAATCACAGAGCGCTATGTTGCTCAGACTGTGACTAAAATGGAAAACTCAGATATTCAAAGTATTCTGCTAGACACGGGGAGTTAAACGTGATGTTAATACTTACTTTAACTGAAATTGTTATTCTAATGCTTTCAAGTCTACGGGGACCTCTTACTCTCAAAAGAGCCAACTGTAACCTAGCCGACATGCAAAACGATATGTATGCAGTTCATTTTACTTCTGACCTTCTTCTTACTGACAACAGCAATGTCACAGTGTTCTTCTATTTTACTGCAGCAAGGTGGGGTTGGCAAAAACAAGACGTTTGGCTGTTGTTAAGTTTCTCTTTAAATATATATTTTCAATGCTCTGAGCGCGATAAACAAAATTCTCCATCACAACGGCATTGGATCGGTTTGACAGCAGACGAAGCAGATATGTCAAAACATGGGCAAAAAATCCCAAATCTATCTGCCTGACTAAATATCAGGTGAGACAATGTTGTCCGTTTTTTTATTTATTGCACCAATCATGTGCACAAAGCAAATTCTCTTTCTGTCATTGTCCTAAATGTTTCAGCACAATTGATCCCCAACATGTACATACATGTCCACAAATCACGAAAATGGCACCATCCTAAAAAAAAAAAGCAGCTATTTACTGTTGCAGGAAATGAATCTCTTTGATTCCTGTACGTTGCAGCTCCAATCTTTCCTCGGCATAGCAGACAAACACAGCCACAAGCATCCGGCTGAGGCTAAGACTAAACACCCCTGCCAACTTAAAAGACACAGCCACTTACTCTCCACAGACTCACACATCTAGCCCCCTCAGGCACATCTCCCTGCCAGCCACGGCTCCCCTGCAAACCAGCCCGAGGAAACTAGCGGCTGACGGTGACCTCAGATGAATTGAATATCTAACATTCATGTTTTTAATAAGAACAATAAGCACGGCTGTGGCTGTCTTTCTCATAAAGCCCCTTATTGAAATTGATTTAACACAAAGGCACAGCTCAGTGGTTGAGGCCGAGGCATATAGACTGCTGGAAGTGCTTTTCTGCCAGCATCCCTCCTGCCGTAGTCCTCATGATTCCACCCACTCCAATTCATTTCAATGCCGTCTTGGGTTTAGGCATCACGTGAGAAAAGGGCTTTTTTTTTTGTGCATTGGATAAGGATTCCTTCTGCATCCTATTATTCATTTGTTATTCTTACTCAAATATGTTTGTCAAAAGGAAGCTGTTGTTGCTCATTTCCTCCTTTGAACCCTGTGTGTGAGCAGGAGGGATTCATGTCACTGCATTTCTTTTTTTTTGAAGTTGGGCTGGGAAGTTGAGTAGTATATGATCACAAATGTGAGGAGGGGTATTATAACATCTAAGGGTTAGCTTTAAACCACCATCTATCTCCTCCAAGTCTCACTCTGGCCTTCAAATAACCGTCTCCTTTTCATCCCGTCTGTGTTTCTGATTTGTTGCAGGGCCAAGATGAAAGCAGCTTAAGAGGTAACACCTAAAGCCCTTAGCAGGTCCACAAAAGTGGTGAAGTGGTCGAGCCATACTGACCTGGGTCTGGTGGTGTTGTGTTTTCCTTTGGATGGAGAGCAAATGTAAAAAAAGACGGAGAAAAAACAAGGAAGGCAGAAAGAGGTTATTGAGAGGCAATTCTTACTCCTTGTTCAGTCTGACTTGAAGAATACTCTTCATACAATCATCTATGAGTGGTATACTCTTTAGATGTGTGGTCTAACCTTTAAGATAGTGAAAGACAGACAGGAGTTCTGTTTCTTAGCATTTTGTCTTTAGGAGGGGATTTTTTTTTTTCTTTCTAATTATTATCCTCATTTTGTCTACAACTCACCAGGGTATCATAGAGTGTTCACTTTTTTAGATTAACTGTCACAAATTGATGAAACAGGAATGTTCCACTATTGCTTACATTTAAAGGTGCAGCAGGGGATCTCATTGGCCAGCTGCTATGTGTTGACAGGAGTCTGGCCAATCAGAACTCTGCATGTGTGTCATATTGTCTTATCTGCTATGTTATGCTTCACTTATTATGTTTGTGTCTAAGTCAAAGAGGAGAAGCAGTCCAGGACTTACCTTGGGTTTCGGCTTGGCGGAATCTGCAGTCAAGTGAGAGACAGACACAGTGAGAAGAATACAAAATGAGTGTGTGGTGGCTTCCTGACATACAACCTCAACCGTCAACCTCTGCTGGCCCTCATCACGCCTCAGAATGCATAAAGACCACAGTGCTTCTGCTGAGAAGGCTTGTCAATGGCCTGAGCTGCCTTTAGCTGTCTGTGTACTGTATTCAGCGAGGGTAACGGACATGGGCGAATGTCCCACACTTGTGACAAAGAGCTAAAGCTTGACACATGAGTATAATGCAACAACTGCTAAATATCTTTATGGCATAATTCAGCTTTAAGTGCTAAACATCATGTGTAATTTGCAGTCTAATAACAGAATTTTTATATTCTTTAAGGGGGAAATAAAGGGAAGTAGAAATTTGAGCATGTGGGTGGCAAAGTAAGGGAAGGTCAAAGGTTACATCATCCAGAGAGACACGTTTTTTTAAATCAAGACACCAAATTCAATAGTACGCAAGCTGTTACATAGCTTATGTACAATCTGGCATATGTGTGGTGCTCGATGAAAGCTCATGGAGTTCCCAAAATGTAAAGAGGTCCTCCTTTAGGAAGCATAAATGTGCTCAGTAAATTTCATGGCAATCTGCCTTTTAGATTTTGATATTTTGGCGTACAAGTAGAAATTGAGGCCTGATGGTGGCGCTATAGGAAAGGCCACCAAAAAAAGTTAGGATGTGTTCTCTGAGGGACATAAATATACACAGCAAATATCATGGAAATGATGGCATATATGTTTTCACGATAACTTAGTGCAACAAAGTGTACACCATCGGTTTTGGGGGTTTCCATCTCACCTGATCTCCCACAGACTCCGAGTCGACCCAGACACTCCTTATGAGCCCCCAGCCCACATTTCAGACAGAGGTAACCCTGGTTAAAGATGCCCCTGGACACAATAAAACACAGGATATATTTTATGTATAACAGCATCCTTAAAATAAATACCTTGACATTTTGAATCTGTTGCAGTCAAGATAAGAAAAAGGAAATGTCCTTCAGCTTTCCAAAACCATAAAACTGATACTGTCTGCTGAAAACTGAGACGGCTAACAGTCTGTAGTCCTTGGTTATTTCAATTTAAACCCAGTGCTAAAAAGCCATTTCCAGTTACGTGAGAGGCTAAATTCAAAAATTGCCTGAGGAAAACCAACTGAAGACTAAATGTAAAATACCACGGTGTTCCTTTAGTTTAATACCTCCAATATGCAAAAGATTTGAAAGTGTATTTTCTTAAGACCACTGCAACAACATAATGATTAGTGATAGTTACAATGATAGTTACAGTTTATGTTCACCCTGTCTCAGGTCTACAGGTGCTTTATCAACTCTACATAATTATCCAAAATAGTCTGTTTATAATGTATGAATATTACCTGAGCAAGAGGTGGCAGAAACTACAGGAAGTGATCCTTTCAAAGGTGTGCATCATGAACTGGTGGGTGTTGTGGTTGGCTTTCTCTGGTCGAATATTTGATCTAACAGAAAAATAACAAGAAAATGGTTAAATGAACTTTAAATTGAAAAACAAGAGTCTACACAGCCATACTAGCAGCTCTGTGATGCTGCACTTAGGCACAACTTGTGCTTTGAGCTAAATGATAACTTCAGCACATTAATATTCTCACATATGTTTACCATTTTAGACAGTCTTAGTTTAGTGTGTTAGCATGCTAACATTGTCTAATTGTCACTGAACACAAAGTACAGCTGGTGCTAAATGGAATGTAATTAGTTTAAGTATTGGACAAATGAAAAATCAGGGGATGAAAACCACCAAATGTCAACATCACAGTGGAGCTAGAGGAACAGTCAGGGGATCACCAAAGTCTATAAGATTCATCCTTCGGAGACTGTGAGAGTGTCTGTCCAAAATTGTGTGGCAACCCATCCGAATCTGTTATTTCAGTCTAGACCAAAGTAGTGTAATGTCAGTGTGTTTCTGTCTGTCTGTTTTTTTTAACAAAACATTCTCAATCTCAATTCTTTATTAACTGAATAAAACGTATTTGTTGTGTGAAAAACAAGGTTATTTATTTCTTCACTCCTGCCCATTCCTTCCTACTTCTGGCTAAAATGAAAGCAATTTTACCCCCAGTGAATGTGTACTCGTAAATGAAGAGGGCTTGAATCAGCCCAGACAGATCTATTTTTGAGTTGCATGTGTTTAAATGTGAGAGGGGGGACATGCAGAGCAGAAATAAGCAGTTTTTCTGGAACATGGACAAACATGATTTTTTTTGTGTTGAATACACCATTCTAAGCAATAAAGTGCTGCCATGAGTGCTCCCATGAGTGAGTCCTTCATCGGGAGCCCACATCCTCTTTACAGGTACAATTTTCACTTTCTGAATGGACCCCTTCTGGTGTCATTACCCAATGTACAGAGGCACACATAGCTATTTTCAGACACAAAACCATAGGGTTCAGATCTGTGCAAAAATAAATGTTTCAAGAAGAAGGGGGTGAAAAATGGTTATTTCTTTCTTTAAGTTTTGGAAAGTTCACATTAGGTTTTGAGCAAATGTCAAGGGCCTAGTGGTCATGTGGGTTTATGAGCTCATGTGTGACTACTTTCAGTTCAAGTTAGAGAAGGAGAAGCACTTAAAATGCACATTGCTGTACATCCCTACACACTGTAGTGCTTTGCTACAGTGCATATATCAAGTATAATCCAGAGCACTGTGAGAAGTGAACATGTATTCGGGATGGGCATAGCGGATAGTCAGCATGCATATCAGGAATATTGTTTTCATACACATCCACCCCAAACACAAAAGCATTTGTTCAGTCAATCAGCATGTAATGTCAAAACAACATCGTATACTCCTGAATAAACATAACAAAGGATACAGACAGGATGTCTGCCGAAAAAAAAACTCCCACGGTTACAAAATAATAAAAGAGATGTACCTCCATAAAGCACTGATTTGAAGAACCATTGAGGCAGTGACTTCTTTGTAGTTCTGCAGCTCTTCAGAACAGTTTATTTGTACCGTGTGTGTGTGTGTGTGTGTGTGTTATTGTTCTATAGTCAGCAGTGTGTGTTTGATTACAGCTAAGACCTGATCAAACAGTGCACATGAAAGAGTCAATACCTACCTTGGCCTTGATGTAACATGCATGCAAACAAAGACGTGTGCATACAAGTGCACAGTTAGTTTTTCCTGTGACACACACACTGGTCTTCTGCGTTGCCTACAAACTGTCCTGACAGTGGTGTCCGTGTGCTTGCATACTTACATGGCCATTTCAAACTGATCCAGCCACTTCTTCTTCAGTTCTCTGGTCTTAAAAAAGAGCTCAAAGCCTGCGTGCCCCTGCTGGTGAGTCACGTAGAACCCGTAGCACCACTGTAGAGGTCAGGAAGAAGGCAGGGATCAAACTGATTGCTTTTTGTCATGAATGCTTATGCACATTTCTGAATAAATGGGAAACTACCCTGGCTACATGTACATGATTATCTCACAATGTATACTTTAAAATGGTGGGTGGAACGATCGCTCAGTGGTTACATTGTTACTGTACAGCAAACAACTGAACTGTCTCTCTTTTTAGAGTTTGTTTTTGATTTAATTTATCTCATGAATCTCAGATACCCATGGCAGGATGGTGAGATGTATTTGTAGGTTTAACTGTAAACAGTGCATGATACCCAATAGGCATACTCTTTGAAATACCGGGGATGCCTACCGAGTTAAATGCTTTTTGTGGTGTGACTGTTGGAAAAAAAAAAAGAAAAATATGTACACAACTGGAAATATACCCAAGAAAAACGTGTAATTGCAGGTCGATTCAATGGGTGTAGAACATAGCTATTGCTTGCTTGTTTTCTCTTCAGCAACACATTCACAGCCTGGCACGTTCCTCAACCGCTGGCCACCAAATATCTACTACCACTGCAACACTTCACACGTTAAAGGCCTTACCCATGGGCATATTTGGGAATAATTTCCAATCAATTCCCAAACCTTTCAGTTTGTGCCACCCTAATCTGTTCCAGCCTGTTGTGTCATATCTAATAACAGGAAAAATGGTAGGGTTTACCCGGAAGTGATTGGCCAGCCCTGCAAGGTCCTGAGTGTTTTAGAGCTCTGCGGAGTGTTAAATCATTGATGACTGTGTGGGTGCTCCGTGGCACCACATTCACACTCTGAAGTTTCATTTAGCAGAAAATGATATATAGCTATGAGCAGCCTTGGAGGACTGCACACATTCATCACCTGATATTAGCATCTCTGTCTGCGGTGTGTGTGCGTTTTTTGTGAGTGTGTGTTGAGGTGAATCTAGCTTATGTAGCTTAAATGTAGTTACACAGTATCTCTATGTCTGTGGATATTTGTCTTTTTTCTGTGTCTGTGTACTTTTGTGCAGCAAAATATTTGAAGGTGGACGGGATCAAAATAATGACATATCCAAGCAAAAATCACAGTTTGTGTCATTACATGTTTAGTTCAAGATTGTTGATTAAATAATGCTAAAGACTACCTTGAATAATGCCAACGACACACACAATCCCCCAAAACACATCAAGACCATGACCAGGCTTGTTAAATTACCAATCAATGCCAACCACATGTCCCACACAGACAGACAACACCCAAACAAGCACATCATGATTGCACAATAGAGTAAATGAGGATGATAATGGAGTCCCTTTGATACAACACCACAGAGCCATCCCATTCTGGCAAACTGTCATTTTCACATTAGCAATCAGCACCAGAGTGAGAAGACACCATCTGTGGGCATCCATCAACAAGACATCAACAAGTGTCCTTCGCCACAATACGGCCTGCAAACGTTCCCAAAAGGCGAAAAATAGCGTAGTGTATAAACTGTGGGGGGTGACTGACCCTCCATCAGTCTAGATTACTCTCATTAAGCATCCAACATTTATTTTAGCAATGAAATCTGCAGACAAACAGATTTTGAATACCATTGTTTCCATACATTAGTAGTGTAGTTTACTGATACGAGCTAGAAGAATAGAGAGTTTATATTCAATATTATTCATATTAGAACAAATACTAATATGCAAGGGCAGCATCTGTGTAATCATGTGTATAGAAGTATATTGTGTTTCGCAGCCAACTGACCTTTTTACCCTCTCTGTCGGTGATGGGGTTGTTTGTGATCTTGAAGTTGTTGAGGTCAAGTATGTCCTTCATCTCATAGTTGTCTCCTCTTCTCTTGCAGACAATGACGGCCACGTCAAAAAGAAATATATGTCTTTAAAAGAAGAAGACAGAATGTTATATAGTGATATAAACTTAAAGATTTGCTCTTGCACACTGTCGACAATTATGGTAAATGTATTCAACAGCTGCGTTTCAGTAAAGTGACCTTCATCAGACATTTAGCGGGAGTTTTTCCTGTCTGATATCCTAATTTCTTTTTAAGGACAATGAAGTTTAAGTAGAACAACCTGTCCTGTTTCCTCTTGTCAACACTGGAGACCATGCGCACCTCTCCGTCACCTTTTGGTCGACCATAGCTGATCAGAGGCTGATTCTAAAAGTAAAATAAGAGAAGAATAAAATGAATATGTTAAAATGAAAATGAATTATGTATAACATAAATGCATTTGAAATAAATGCATTAATAAGTCAAATGCATATAGTAAAATAGTTCAAATGTGTTAAAAGGTGTCACTCGGGACACATTTCCAGCCTTAATGTGTTCTGCACTGAAACCCACATGTTTAGACTCTCTTACAAAAATATAAAAGCTGTTTAACTTAATATGTTAATGACAGTAATAATTCTTTATTGTGATGCTGCTGCTATAAACACCTCCTTTAACTAGTTTAGGGCTGCAACTAACAATTGTTTTCATTATTAATAAATTTGCTTGTTATTTTCTAAATTAATTGTTTTCCTTAAAATGTCTGAAAATAGTGAAAAATGCCCATTCAAATTCCGCAGAGCCTAATGTGACGTATCGAAATGGCTGTTTTTGTCAGGCCAGGCAGTCTAAAACCTAAAGATAGTTATCATCATAAATTATGAGAAAAGGAACAAATCACACTCAAGAAGCTCGAACCAGGGAATGTTGAATCAAAAAGGAAACCAAAAGACTTCCTGATCATTTGCACCCATAAAAAGTGTACACTAACAGGTGCTGAGAGAAAAAAGATTTGAATTTACCAGGTTTTCGATAGACCTCTGGTACTGGTCGATCTCCCTCAGTGTCTCATTATCTCTCTTCACCTCGTTGACAAACTGAGCCAGGTCCTGGGCAACACAGAAACACACAATATTCTGATCTGTACATTGAAAGGAATAGTTTGTTCATTTTGGGAAAGTACACTGATTTGCTTTCTTGCTGAGAGTTAGATGAGAAGATCAATACCACTCTCATACTTGGCTGGTCATGGTGGAGCCAGGACACCGCTGGCATAAAGACTGTTCAAACCAAAATGTTAAAACGAGTTGCGGTGAATAGTGGACCACATGAAACCCTATTTTTACACTCCATTTGGTACAGATAAAAGAAAATTAAAAAAACAGATATAACGTGTTTATTACGAAGCTGTAGAGGTGCTGGTAGGCAAACTGCTGATGCCATTTCTCCGTTGCCAATCTTAATGCTAAGCTAACCTCAGCAACTGCTGGCTGAGGATTTAACATACAGATATATGTTAATGTCAACTGATGTATGCGTGTGTTGCAGGCAGGGTGTTTTTTTGTGCCTCTGTGAGCTGAGCATGCACGTCATTTAAATATTCTAAGTTTGAATCGAGCATTCAAGGTGTCTAAAGTGACAAATTTTCTGCCTTTTTTGTTTTCTCATCTCAGCTGCCTATCAAACTCTGGTTACCTACAGGACTGGAAAAGTGAAGCACTCACCAGTGTGATGTAGGTTTAATCAATTCACACCCACTTGTAGCAGAAAACCATGAGTGATTCATGACTTCTTCTTTTGTCATCTAATAAAAGTTGATAGTTGAATGGCAGACAGCCTGTTTCCACCAAATCCTCCTGCTATTGGAGACAAGCTGAAATCACAATGATTACAGACCATTTACCTTAAGCACTGCACTTACTTTCATGGCATCGAGAGCAATCTTCAAGTTGCTCTTGTCAGCAGCATCGTGAGTGTGTTTGACTAGTTCCTGTTTGAGGAGGACAAAAAGGAAAGGATAGACCCTGTTCACACACAAAACTCACACTCAAACATATTTAGCACGAGTAGTTGGGTTATTGATTTTAAATGCTACCATGTAGTTTTCATAACAAAACAAGTCATTTTCTTAAATTAATCTTATTCGAGGGCATTAGGGAGATTTTTAGCTGAATGTTGACAAATATGCTTCAATTAATACCATAAAAGATGAAGCTTAAAAGACAGAGACAGATCGTTCAAAAAGCTGTACATCAGAAGAGAGGCACTGGAATGAAACAAAGTTAATTTACTCAAGTATAGTACTTCAGTAAGTATAAATATGAGGTACTTTACCCAAGTATTTACATTTTATGCTACGTCTCAGAGGAAAACAGTGTACCTCTGCCTCACTACATTATTTGACAGCTATACTTACTTTACAAGTAAAGATTTAACTTGCATACGTGTGATCAGTACGTAAAATTGGCTCCACCTCAACCAGCTACAACATGTAAATGCTGCTTACACATTTGTGGATCAGTAGTAATAATAATCCAACCATGCAATATATATATAATAGTGAAACACTTGTGATGTTTTTCAGTTTGGTTTTGCTACTTTTACATTCAAGGAAAGGATCGGAATACTCCTTCACACATATGTCTGTTTTATTAATCAACACATAGCAGTTATTGGTGGCAGTGTAATGTGCACAGAGGCACTGTGAAATCTCCTGGCGATGACTTTGGTGTTATTACCGTCAAAACACCAGTCAAACAGCCAAGAAGACATGAGACGAAATAAACTTATACGAGTCCGGAGTGAGGCATTTCCGCAGCATGCATAATTACATATCACAACGTAATGCTGTGGCGGTTTATTTTTCCTACGTGTGGCACCAGTTCCACCATTTTTTCAGACAGTATATTTGCTTCATTTTGTTTTGTTGGGATTTTTAATTCTAGACAGATGCTTGCTGTTAATGACATGCTGTCAACACTGTAGCAGAGAATGACATCATCAAGACTTGAACAAATTACATCAATATGTATATTATATATGATATCTAAAATTAAAGGTTGAATTGAAGAGATGAATTATTCCTCTACAGTGCTGCTTACATGCTGAGCATTATCCATTCTCACTTCATTTCACCCTTTCTATCTTTTTACCCACTTCCCAAAGTCTCTCCTCAGAAGGTGGCTGAGAACACCAGGATCACCACCATTTACCACAGAGGCCTTCTCCCTCCACAACAATTTAATACAGCTCTCGAGCCCTTGTCCTCAACTGCCCTGCCAGCTATGGTCTGACCTCTGATTCAGACGAACCAGGGGAGACGGTGTCACACAGCTATCAGTAGGTAGTGAAATTGGGGGGATTTTGAAAGGCTGCATGTCTGATTTCTACAGGAAGCAATAGTGCAACCATACTGCAAGACATAGATATAATCATGTTTAGTCAATAAGTCATGTAATGATAATTTCACGTGTAAATGTATTTCACAATCAGGTGACGGACGTCTTCCCTTTTAAAAAGCACTTGTTTGAAGAAAATTCTGTAAGCTGAAATGCATTGAGGCAGATTGAAAGCATTTTACTTTCTTTATTCACTGTACTTTCTTTGAGAGATGTGACATAAGAAGAGTAAATGCAACACCTAAATGACTTGTCTTTCTTTCTCTATTTTTGCACTGAGAATCTGCTGAGAAGTTGTGAAGAGTGGCAAAGTTGTGGAGAATGTCGCCCTCCAGTGGCCACTTCTCTACTGAAAGAAGGACGTCATACGCTTCGAATCAACTGAGAAAAACGTTGACAAAACCTCCCAGAGGTCAATCTCAGAGGAGTACAACTTGAGGTAAAATTAGCATGTATGTGATATCCTTAGAGAAGGCTGCACTTTGAATGCTTCAACAACAGGTACAATTTGGCCAATGTTGATGTTTATTCTTGCCTCAACAACTACTGTTGTGGTGTCCTGGAGTCAGGCATTAAGGCATTAAGGCCCAAATGTTCCAGTGGAGCTGCTAATTAAAAGCATTACATGTAGCAAGTAATAATAAAGTAAAAAAATAGGGTGGACTGCTGAAAACAAGCACTCAAGATTCAGCAAATCCATTAAAAAAGGGTCAATCGGGGGTGTCAGGGCAGTCAGTGGCACATACGTTACCATGAACATATATATTATGAGCAGCTAGTCTGCTCCAGACCAGACTCACTGCTGAAAATCAAATATAAAATAAACTGCAGGACCTAGATATGTAGCTAAAGAGAAAAGCAGGTGATCATTTTAATGCACACTGTAAGCATGTCATGTCATGTCATGTAAGCAGCAAAATTTATTAATCATTGTTATTTATTTATGTATATGTATATATATATATATATATATATATATATATATATATATATATATATACGGTTAGTAAATGTATATTTTTAGGCTACTTACGCGTTCAGACAGTCCACTATTGTCTGCCTGATTTCCTTTTTACGTATTATTTGCGTCTGAAATCCTCCTTTAGTAGCTGTTTCCCATTTTAGCATAAAATCTGTGACTTTGAAGAAAGCTGTGAACGCACATGTATCCGAATAACTCAATTCTGGCTCAACTTGAATCTGGTTTAGCCTAGTCGCACCTCCTCAACCTGGCTTGGCTAACGTGAAAGGTATAAAGCCAGGATGCACTGACTAGACTAGTTCAAGCCTCGCTTTTTATATTTTTTTTATACTGGATTTCTTAATACTGCTTTTGTGAAATAAAACAAATTTCCGTGATTAACACAACTTTATCTAATCAGGGATGACTGATCTCTGAAATAAACTGATTTCCTTTAAACCCTGAGCAGACTCTTAGACACTCTTACTTTAAATTAGTGGAGTCAGACCTCCCTACCTGAAGAAGTAGGTGGTACTTGAGGACTCTCTGCATCGGGACAACCAGCAGGTCCCTCAGAGTAAACTTCCCATTGTTGGCTCTCTTTGAGCACTCCTGCAACAAACACGAGACACATATTTATAACAGCATGAGCGATGATGCATCACTATTCGGATGACTTAGGTGTTACTGGAACGGGTCAACCAAGAGACAAAACAGTGTTCATTGTTGTCATGTGAAATTGGGTATGGAATACGTTTGTATCTTATTCTGTTATAGAGCACACACCAAGCTCAGAGTTTATAAAGACATGACATAACACACATTTTAAACAAATATTTTTTATCTTTTATTCAAAATCGATCACATGAAATCAGCTACTTCAACTAATTTATACTAGCATCGTTTTTCAAGTTTCTTAAAGCTGGATAGAACAAGATACATAATGCAATAAAACATGTCATGTAATGTATGTGTAGTGCACAGAATTAACACTAGGAGCCGCTGGCAAACATGATCTCTGTACAATGGGGTGTGTGTACATGTGCGTTATTCAGGTGTCTCACCTCGAGCTTTAGACGGACATCCTCTTTCTCTTTGCAAATGAAGTCTAACACAGCAATGGCGATCTCCACCTGACTGCAGTATATCCCATAAATGAGCAGTCTACAACGCAGAGGAAAGACAGGGAAGCCATTGATGAGTGGTGATTTGGAGAAAAAGTACAGCCAGTGTGTGTCGAGAGCCAGTGAGCGATACTGTGCTCACTCAAAATTAGAAAGTGTAACTCGTAATATGTCGCAATCATGTTGCTCATGAAAAAGATGGTATCAAGGGATTCTCTGATGAAGAATATGTTGCAAGACAGTCATCTAGATTACATCATGATGTGACTGAGAAGAGAATCACCTTCCTCTAATTTGTATTATTTTGTAGTACTTTCAGTTTGACCCTGAAATTTATAGAGAACTGGAATAGAGAAAACCGCATAAACGTATAACTGACAAAGGGCAAACAGCCGGTGTGCAGCAGGATGGATGCACAACTGAAATTGTCACGTCTGTCGTAGTATTGACAGAAAATTGTAAGAGGAAAGTACAGTGATATAGTGAACCTGTACACGTAAAGCTGTTTACTGAGACATAACTCCACAAAAAGGAAAGTACATTTAGGGAGATGCCACTGCAGTTGCAACTTACATACTTCCCTTGCAACCTAACTATAAATGTAGATGGATGTTTTCATGAATACCTCTCTTTGTAGCTGATGAAAATCTGGTAGAGATTTAAGGCATTTTTGTTTAAGATGGAGTCCTGCACGTCGACCATCAGGTTCTTGTGAACTTTAACCAGGTCCTGCATTAGAGAGAGAAAAAAGACATCAGTACCTGGATATGAACATTTCATTTCCATGTCATGTGACGAGAAGGGAAACTTGTGGGACTTACTGGAATGTTGACAAAAACTTTGTCGATTTCAGCCGCAGAGAAAAATTTCCTGAGAGGGTTCAGGAAATACTGGAGACAGAAACAATTGAACACCTGAATGAAACATAGCAGCGCCTCTCCTCAGATTCTTCCACTAACTGATGTTTCAACTGGAACCGGTGAACCATTTGAAATTGTAATAATAATAATAATAACAGCTGTGGTGCACATATACAGAAACAAATAACAGACATCTCATTAGATAGTCAGACAACAGGGCCATAGCAGTGCAATTTAAGATGAAGATTATAACTGGGACTATCCAGATATGCCCCTTTTTAAAATTACATTTAAAAACGCTTTGTCTAGTATGAATTTAAAACAAAGAAAACCATGTGTCTTTTCATGTAACAACATATGATGCGCTATATGGTGCGCTATAGAACAGTAGGATGTTTACGTATGAACCTTCTCGATGGACTCCAGGGTCTCTGTGTATTTCTCCTCCGTCTGTTTGATCTCTGAGAGACAGCAGCTCCGGACGTCCACCTCTGCCTGCTTCTAGAAAGACGCACACCTTAGAAAATGTTGCCTAAACTTTACTATCTTTCCTTTTGTTTATCTGCAGACACTGGAGAATATGCAGTCAGAATGCTGAAATTAGACATCTGTATTCAGATTACATCACCAAAAGTTCGAAACGCTGCTAAGTTTTTTTTCTTTCTTTTTGTAAAACTCAATACTTATAGACGACAGTATTTTTAAAGCAGCATGCGTCAACTTCCTCCTGTGTGCATCAAACACGGCAATAATCACTCTGAGATCTCCGCTGAGTTCCACTTCTGCAGGTCCAGGCGATAATAATAATTATAATAATAATAGTTTTTAACACAAATCAGGGAATGGGAAGAATTTCCCTCTGGTTTGCATTCCGTCTATTTTTTGTCAAAAAATAGACTTATTGTTGCCTACTTTTGTAAACATGTGTAGCTGGAGCTGTGAATTGGTTGAGTAAGTGTTAACTCGTTACTTCAACATACAGAGTTCACAAAGCACTTTGTGAACTGTTTTTAAAGGTGCTATATAAATAAAGTTATTATTATTATTACACAGGTATAGCAATGATGTCAAATTCTTGCGAGTATTACATATAAACTTTATTATACTTTTAGTTATACTCGTATTTGCAGCTTATTTTAGCAATATTATCCTTTTTTGTAAAAGTTATCATCTCATTTAATTTTGGCTAATCAATCATGGGTGACTATGGAAGACAATAAGATGGTTTATACATTTTAAGTGACATGGTTTTTTACGCTTGTAAAGTCCATAACTGGATTTTTGCTCATGAAGATTAACAGGGAATATACTATGATCATTAAAATCATAAAGAAATAATGTATAGACTGATACAAAAGTAATCCCTTTCAATCATCACTTATGACCTACTAGAAGTGTGTGGAGTTGTCTGTATCTACAGCTGCTTTTGTCACGCCTCTGGGTGTCTAATAGCATATTTTGCTGATCATACATCTGTACCTTCATCAAGTAAAATTTTGAAGTATAATTTTGAATACAGTACTTTTATTTGTAACCGAGTATTTTTTACATTAATGCATTGGTACTTTTACTTCAGTTATGAGTCTCCCTACTTAAAGATATCCTGATGTTGAGTTCAGAAGAGGATTTCATCCACACAACTGTACAAGGTGAGAAGTTGAAGTGTGACATTGTAGGTTATAGTCCCCCTGAAGCGTGTGCCTGTGTGTGTGCGTGTGTGTGTGTGTGTGTGTGTGTGTGTGTGTGTGTGAGTGTGACTCATTGCGGTACCAAGGGTGGATGCTGCTCATTCCTCATGAGGTCTTCATAGATCTCTCCATCTGCGGAGTCTTCTTCCATCCCGTAGACCACTGCATACAAGTCGTCATCATCATCAGGGGCATTCTCACTATCACAGACACACACACATACACACACATTAACAAATAACTTACTGCATTGTGAAAGCTATGGGGCAACAATTTGTGAATAATGGAAACAATATGATATTAAATGCAATGTTAAACCAAAAATACATTTACACAGATATAAACAACAGGCAACACGCTTTCTGTAAAGAGTATATGTGATTACAAATAGTTTTCTCTCATGGGCTGTTCTTTTCATCATATGCATTAACTCATCTTAATCACTGCATGTATTAGATAATGAGAAGCATAATGCACAATTCAAAGAAAACATGCTCTGAATATAACTCAAATGTGACATGAAATTAATACAAATACTGGACCTGTTTTACTCATATTTGATTGCCTTATTTGTCTCTATCTGTCAATCAAATGTGATTGATGTGGGTGGTATGCAAGAACTCAGCAAAAACATGCAGCATTACTCATTCGTTCCCTCTGACAGTTACAGAGAAACGGAGCCAAGCCTTTTACCAAAACATGTGGGTGTCCAGACCCCTGGAGAGCATGGATAATGAGCAGAGCTGGTTCTGCTACAGAGCAAAAGAATCATGTTCTATCAACACCAGTAATGGCCCCGCAGAGAGGGGCCTCATACATACTCAATCAAGTCTTCCAGATTATTGTAAATGTCCTCGTCTTTGAGGCTTTCCTCTGTTGGAAATGGCCTGGGAATGACAGCAAAGCAGAGTGAGGCTCAGTGTTTAACAGAAAAATCAATATGAAGAAAATATTATCAATGAGTTGCTTTGGGCAGGAAACAAAATTGATGCATTCAAATGTTTTCAAATACCCAGAACAGTCTTATATGCTTTTGTACAGCAGAAAAGGACACAAATTGGTAACAACTACTTTGGACAAGTCTTATTGGGGCTACAAACCAAACCTTATTTAGATGGAGATCTGCAACTCGCCCATTATCACATTCAGTGGATGCCGAAAAATTATTATAGATGCCAAAATAACATAAAGAAATACATAGAACATTAAAACAATTCCACAAAATGCAAAAGAAAAGTCACAGGCTTTTAAAGAAACATTGCTGAAAAAAAAAGAAAAAGCTCAAGCACACCGAGGATAACTTTATGAAATGTCAAGTGACTGTTTTTTTTTGTTTTTTTAATATTGGATAACTTACTTGATTACTCCTTGCTGTGCAATTGCTGTGTAGGAGAGCTTGGATAGTGTGTCCATAACCTGGTAAAAAACAAAGGTGTGTTAAAAAATCTTTTTGAATGGCTCAGAGAGATACAGGCACAAAGAGAGAGCAGACAGAGAATGCTATGCTCAACAGGTAGCAACCTTGTTGCATCTCATTTCATCTCTCTACGAATACTATCCGATAAAGGTAGTGACGGTACAGTTTGTGGTAGCTATTGTGTGCGCAACAACATTTATACGGTTGGGCAACAAGCTACCAACAACTCATTCTTTTATCAAAATAACTCGATTAGCAAGAATTCAAGAATTTTCAGAATTTAAAAATGACGCATTTGCCATGGTAGCAGCAAAAATATGTCAGAGCAAATTATAGTGAAAACCAGCAGAACAACACATGAGACTTAATTGAGCACCTTCAAAATCTGACTCCAACGTTATATAACGTTTGTAATGCGTGTACGTAACAGCATAAAATATGGACGTAATCTCCATGACGTCACCCACAGGTATCTGAAGAGCCTCTATGAAGCTCAAAGTGGGTGGCTGCCCTCCGCCCGACGCCATCTTGGCAGTAACAAGTCAACAATGTGCATCATCGATGGAGCTGAGGCCCAGACGGCGAAGCAGAGTTGACAGCTAGCAGTTAGCATCCTGATACAGCACCCCACATGTCACTTAAAGCGGCCGTGCTCTCAATTATGCAGAACTTTAAGCCTTAATTTAATCTAAACGGGCGAGTTATTTAAAAAGTCATCCCGTTTACAGTTGTCATGGAACAGGGATATTAGCTATAGAGACCAAAAACATTTTTTGTGCCAGGCTGTAAACATGTAAAATGCTGTAAAGATGGGCATTTTGTCAAGTGGGGTCTATGGGGATTGACTCTCTTTTGGAGCCAACATCAAGTGGCCTTTGAGGAACAGCAGTTTTTGGCATTTCCGCATTGGCTTCATTTCTCAGCATTGGAGAAACTGGTGTTTGTAGCCTATGTTGTATTATATCCTAATGTGATTTGTTGTCTTTTTCTCTTACAGTACAAGTACAATCTGGTTGGCAAAACTTTATTATTATTATTTATATTGGTTATATAATTTGCATTATTTACATTATTATCATTATATCATTATTATGCCAATAAATAAAATTGAAATGAGACGGAAAGCAGACAGAGAGGCAGGGAAAGACACACATGGTCTGCAGGAAATGGTCATGCTTCCTCATCAACTCATCTTACTATTGTGTGTTTGTATGGTTGTGTGTGGTGGCGGTGGGGTGTTTGTGCATGAGATAGAAGTGAGAAGTCTGATCAGCAGATCTGTACCGGAACAAGGCTACTACATAACTACACCAATAAACCAATATGCTGAAACCTCTACATGCTGCTTCCATAGCCAATATAAAATATTATCAAAATTACAATTACCTTACTTTTGCACACTGAACATATATGTATCCATTTAGATACAAGATCATTACTGACCAAATAAATTAACCACATGCTGGGACATATAGCATTGACAGTGTTTATTGTGTATGTTATGAGTCATTAAAAAGACAAATTTTATAATTTCATAGCTCTATCTCCAAATCATGCCCACACAAACTTAGTCATTTCTTTAGTTGACATGAAGAAGTTCCAAGTAACAATGCTGCAAATGACTCTCTTCTAGTGAAAGGGGTTAACTATAACAGCCTGTCTATCTGCAGTCATCTCCTCTTCCGGTGTGAATGAAGGCTGTGGCTTTGGCTAAACCCAGGTGTGCTTGTGACTTGAAAGATTCATGTTTATAGTATTAGAGACCAGCTTTAAAAAAAAAAAAAAAAGCTCTGCATCTCCACTAGTTTTTCACGATAGTCTGAACTTTTCTGCAATAAAACAAAAAAATCTGCCTTTTAAGTGAGATGATTTCACTTATTTGAAATGTGGTGTTATGTACTTGCGGCCCTAATATTTACTTGTGTATCATTTTTCCACAACTACCTGAAACACAATCTGGTCCTAAAGGTCTCACAAATTACACGATCAATTTGATTTCTGTGGCATTTTTGCAAAAGGAAGAACTTATGTTAGTCTTAAAAACAAGTTGTTCTCACACCTGAAGTGTTTGATGATAGTTAAAAGTGTGGCCTGTTTACAAAGTGCATCTTAAATCCCCAGAGCACCATGAAAGAAATGGAAGTAAAGTAGAAACATCGTGTCATTAATCAAATGTGTATGCCTGATGGTTATGTTTTAGCTAAATTAAAAAAGTAGTACTCACACATATTAACAATAAACTATATGGAAATCTCAAAGGGTCTCATTTCAGCACAAATTGAAGGTGTTTGTTCAATCCGCACAGAAACGGAGCAGTATTTAGTGAGCTTCAGAGGATATTTGGATTTTGTTACTTTCAGACAGCCAGGCTATCTGTTTCCCCCTTTTTTCAGCCTTTAATCTAAACTACGATGATCGCCCCTCGGCCAGTAGTTTCATATTTAATGTACAGGCACGAGAGTGGTATCACTCTTTTCATCTTACACAAAAGAGCTATTAACCGTATTTACCAAAACGTGCATCTCTTTCTTTAAGAAGAAAACAAAAAAACAGCCATTCAACGTAAAATTTCATTCTCTATTCACTTGAATTTAGTAAGCAAACATTTGGCTTTTATGGTCACAGTTGACATGTTGTCTTGAGGAAAGAAATAAAGACATTTCTGGCCTCCAGGCTGCTGCATGCAGTCAGCGTGGCTGTTAGTGTACTACTGTAAGCCAGTAGTAACTTAGCAGAGGAATGTAGGTTAGAGAGCTCTCATTAGATATTCAGTGGACTAATGCTCAGTCTACGGGCAGAGTTGGCACACCTCAACCCGGGTGGATTAGACTGGCTGAGATTTGAGATGTTCTCTTTTGGATGTTTTCTGGAAAATAGGGAAGAGATTGAGGATTTCTTGTTCGGCTGTACAACCCTTCCTGGAGCCGATCCAACCCAATCGCCGAACCTGCAGACACCCGTATTTTTTTAACTAAAAACAAGTTAATGTTGCGACACGATCTTCCCCCTCCGGAAGCTTGATGGACAACTCTTGAACATGACCGAGATTATGCAGCCCAGCTTGTATGTACTGTACATATTTGCAGGCAGCACCTCCCATGCGGGATTATCAGCAGCCAGATTAACTGGAAGCTTCTGTAGAGCACAACACACTGAACTGAAAGAAAAGAGTCTGTGTGGTGAAACTGCACGCAAAGCTAAATATGCAATCCCTCACATTTATAGAGAGCACCAATGACCCCTGTCTATTCTCTGCACTAAATTAAGCATTTTAACCATGTATAATATGCCTGACTAAAGGACTCCTAACCCTTTTGCCTGTATTATTATTATTATTATTTTAGTTTAAATTTGCTAACGTATACCTGGAGTTCTCAAACCACCTGCGATAGTGTATGAATTATTAAAAATAGATGAAATATCTGCGCTGACAAAATAATGACATTTATAAGAAGAAAATATTGTACATGAGGGGTTGTAGTTTACCCAGATTAAGCTTTTTGTAACGATAATAACACATTTACAGACTTAATGTTCTCTATTTTAGATGTAATAAATATAGTGTATCACTGCATAGATCTCTTTTATCAGATGTACTGAATTAATAATATTCAGTACAGATTAATACAAAGAAAATACATTCATACTATATTTCCCCAGAGATAACCCAGAGATGCTCAGGCAACTCATACAGCTCCGAGGCACAGTTATGCACCGAATGCACTGAACCAAGGAAATGAGGCAATAAGGCTGGCTCAGAGTGAGTGCGCTTTCTTCAGTTAAATCAGGCTTCTCTGCTGCGAGAGTCCACTGAGTAGCTAGGAAGAGAGCACTACAAACCCACTGACCTGGTAACACTATTTACACTCACTGAAACCAGCTCCCACAATAATGCGGCAATAAAACGAAGTCGACCGAGCACCTTCAGAAGTGCATCGGAAAGAAATGCAAGACCAGGCGACGGGTGGACACACATTGAAACTCATAGACATGCACACGCCATGCTTCCATTTTCTACAATGTTCAGAAGTAGACTGCAAAGGATGACAGGTCACTTGTTGAAATTATTTGAAGTAAAAAATGTCATTAAATATTTTCAAGATTTTTTTCTCAATGAAAAATACTTTTCTTAACAGTTGTTGTTTTTTATCACGACTGAATAACTGCAGCTGCAGAACCAGGATTTGATGTAATATGATAAGAAATTGTTTCTTTTGATGTATCGGAGTAGTTTTTTCAGACACCATTATGTGATTTATGCAAGAAGAGTTTTGACAATACAATGAGAATTTGCTGGTTTGCAAACTATTACACAATTGTAACAGACGTTTCCTGTTGTTTCTAACTAAAACATCTGAAAAATGTAGAAAAAACGTTAAAATTAACTATTTATTAGGCAGACAGCCAATGTGCTCACTCAAACTCATTTCCCTGTATAAACAACTTGTAAAAGTCAAGTGTTTGTATCCGGAAAAGCTTGAATACTTTCATTCATCATTGCAAGGGAAAGAGAACAGAACAGACCAGAAGAAATATGTGCATTGTTGAAGAATATCACCAGACGTGAAAACACGGATGAGGGTGTTACCTTTCCAAAGTCTCGAACATCAAAGAGGTCGAAGGCTTCAAACAAGTCATTTTTCTTCATCCCAAACACCTCACAGCAAGAAGTCAGGAATGTACGAATGTTCTTCAAGCACAGGAACTGCAAAGGGCAAAAATGTACACATCATTTAGTACGCCTTGTCTCTGTATAGCACTTACTGAAATATGGGCCTTCTTCTATTAGCTAGAATCATCTTAAAATATCCATTAGATCGTTCATAACTCTAGGAATAACTTCTATGGGTCAGTCCCTCCAAACCATGAAAAATGAGTAAAGAAAAAACATATTTTAGTTGTACCTAGCCATGCAGACAGTTTTAGTTGTTACACACTACAATTTTTTTCTTTTTGCTGTTAATGAGAATGTGAGGCACCTGAAACTAATTAAAGAACCAATAAAATCCATGTCTCATGATTTCTCAATGCTCACCGCATTGCAATAATTCTTCCTTAGAAAAAGTCCCTTTAAACTGCTGAACTGTTGATCGCAGTTTAAATGCAGAGTAACAGCGCAATTCTTTCCGGAAAGAGATATTGCTGTTTAATGTCTTAAATATGTTTAATGCCTTCAGCATCACAAATAAGCATAAAACGTACGTGCCTCACTTACGTGCCTCATGTCATTTAAAAGAACCAACCATTCAAGTCTGTTTAACCTTAATAAACCGACATCAACACTATACTGCGGGGTCAGAGAACTTGAAGCTGCCTTATTAAAAGTGAAGGTGAACAACACACAGCGATCTGAAAGCGAAAACATAACGTTTTACAGTGCAAAGATGAAACCACGAAACATGTGCTCTTTCGGTGTCACTTCCTAATAGGATGTGTGTCTCTGTGGGAAGAATGGAGTCAAGGAACAATCATAACGAACTGTGCTTATGGCTATGGGTTCAAGCGAGGGCCAAATGCTGTACAAATGCTTCTGGGAAAAAAAAACACCCAGTAAAGCATTCAAACAGTAAACAACTGCACCGACATAATTTTCCCTTTTGCACATTATTAAGTGATGCCTAAACAAGAGTCCGAGTTGATTCTTGGGACTAGATAGGCTCCTTTTTATCACAGCAGCTCATCGTGGAGACGCCTGTAATCACTCCACCGCCCCCCTGGGGCCCTGTGTGTCTGCAGAGGAAGTGCATGTACATGATGGCTTTGCACCACTCCTGATTACAGTCACAGCCCCCTGGTACATATTCACTTTCTACTTTGAGAATAAACACAGCACCCTTGGCTTTACAGATACACACACACACACAATAAAACTGCAGGTCTTCCCTGACACGGTATGTCTATATAGATTGAAGGGGGGTTAATGTAGGGTTGATTGATGCTGTGTTTAGTTGGGATCTTGATCCTGTTGATTTGATATTGCACTATCAAGCTTTCATTTTGTAACTTAACACATTTATTATCTTGCACTCATATACATTGATGTTTAGCAGAACTGATTTGTCTGATGCGAAAGTCTCACTTGAAAGATTTACTTTGAATATTCCCTTTTTTCCACTTTCTCTAGGAAAGAATGAACAACAAAAGCAGAGATGACATTGAGAGACAAATTATATATATAAGAATATTACTGTCACACTCCATGTTTTGCATTTGCACCCCGGCCAAACATAAGATATAAATAGCACCTCTGGGCACATTTTCACTACAGTACACTGCACTCTCTCCTCTAGTCCATTACCTTGATGCCCTTGTTTCTATTTACAAGATCGTAGGTCAGCAGGGCACAAAGAAAGGGCCATTTAAAATCTGGAGCCCACTGACACACATGCCTTTCTCGAACATATTCAGACGGCCTACAGCCGCAGGCTTTGACTATTCATTGTTTGCCACACTATGCCCTGGTTTTGCTTTTACAAGCAAGAAGATAAAAGAGTGGATGTGCACTGACGGAGCTCATACACAGCAATGTAGTTTATAAGCACGATCAAATACCCTGCTCGGGAACTGGCTGTTATTTATTACAGAAGCAAAGGAAAATTGGTCAGTTTGGCTAGATGTCTCAATTTATTTATGGCAGTTTTTGGATGGTAAAATCAAAATCTGTGGTGATTGCAAATAAGCATTGCAAATAAATGTTTAACAACAACTGAAACGACTTTTCTCTTCTCTTTAATCTCTCAAAAACTAATCATGTGAAGTCCACTAAAAGGAATATTAGTGAGTTGAGATTTTATTCCATTCCATTATCCAAACCGCTTATCCTATTCAGGGTCGTGGGGCGCTGGAGCCGATCCCAGCTGATATTGGGCGAAAGCAGGGTACACCCTGGACAGGTCGCCAGTTTATCGCAGGGCACATGTAGAGACAGACAAACATTCACATTTACGGGCAATTTTGAGTTTCCAAATAACCTAAGCTGCATGTCTTTGGACTGTGGGAGGAAGCCGGAGGGAACCCACGCTGACACGGGGAGAACATGCAAACTCCACACAGAAGGACCACCCGGGATCGGGATCGAACCCGTTTCCCTCTTGCTGTGAGTGCTAGCCTTTTGGACTAATTGTCACAGACGGGTCCAAATGTCAGTTTGACACAGACACAAATGGATGGCTCTATATGTTCCCAAATTCTGGACGTGAAACCTAATGTGGGTGTGACGGATTGGAAATGATCAAAACACTTTCCTTTATGCTGAAAATCCTCACTATTTTGATAGAGTAACCTAAAGGGAAAACTCACCACGTCAAAGTTTTAGCCACTACACCACCATGCAGCCCCCTTGAGTTGACATTAAGGAGATATATTCCTTCAAACATCTGTTTCAATTATATCAAGTAAAATGTGTTTTTTTACCACATTAAGATTAAATTTGTTTGTTTTATTAAACCTAATTTCAATCACTGAGACAACATAGAGATAGACATCGTTTTTGAGCTTTTGTTCATAAGTGTAAGAAATCACAAAGTCTCCTAATAGCTAACTACACATGGCTCCAAACTCAGATGCAAGCAAACTATGAGCTGCTGCACACATAAAAGTTCCCTAACAAATGGGTGGATCAAAGCCAGGATTTTATCAGGCCTCTCCTGTGACAGAAGGAGGAATTATGGGTAACGAGAGGTCAAGCTTTGGATCATCCCCTTTGGGTTTTACAGGCTAAGGGACATATAGCGCTACCTCAGTAAATCAAAAAAGCTTGAAGTAGGATTTTTAAAAAGGACATTTAAGCATATAATAGGGTACACAATGACTCACTTTGGACTAATTTGGACTAATTGTCACAGACGGTTCCAAATGTCAGTTTGACACAGACAAATGGATGGCTCTATATCAGGTATGGGCAAACTATGGCGCGCGGGCCATATGCGGCCCGTTGGGCTTTTTAATCCGGCCCGTCAAATATTAGTATAAAATTGTCTAAACTATAATAAAGACTAGGGCTGGGCGGTATACCGGTTTTAATTTCCCGTATGATATGAATTCTTCACACACCATCACACCGGTGTATAGCCGAATCAACTGCTGTCTGTCTTCAACAGGCAGCTAAATGTATTGTTCGCCCCTGAAATCGCTGCGGTCGAGCTAGTTCTCTTATATGTATTGAGAGAGAACCCTAGTCATGGTCATAACTTTATAACGCAACAATGAACAACCCACAACTAACGCTCTTTAACAGAGCGTTGATGCACTGGCAAAAAAGGGTGACCAACAACACTGTTCCCACTGAAATTAAATGTAAGTTTTCTATTCTTTTTAGGTAATGGCTTTTACTTGTAATTTATATTAGTTCACACAAACACTCCATTCATCTGCTACTTGCCTGGCCCGTCTGTCAAATTTTAAAACTCAATGTGGCCCCCGAGCCAAAAAGTTTGCCCACCCCTGCTCTATATGTTCCCAAATTCTGGACTTGAAACCTAATGTGGGTGTGACAGATTGGAAATGATCAAAACGCTTTCCTTGATGCTGAAAATCCTCACTATTTTGATAGAGTAACCCAAAGGGAAAACTCACCACACATACCACATCAAAGTTTTAAGAACCCTTGAATAAGCAAATATGCAAAATGTATGCAAATATGTGCTGTTGCCTGCAGGTGTCTTGACAAAACTAAAAATGATATGCATAGATTTTACTTTTTTTAAATGGTGGTGTGTTTACAGACCTTATGTGGACCTGCTTTTTTTCTTATCACTACTAATTTATTCGCTCTTGTGTTGCCTATACTTCATACACAACTCCTTTTACAGTCCGCGTTTAAAAGCATTAGTTATATTATTATACGGTTTCTTCCACTAACGCGCTAAATTGTTTCTGGAGCGCCTAATTATTAAGTAAAAAATACCTAAAATTGACATCTAACACACAATCCAACACACCGTTTGCTGTTATGGCATGCTCTTAACTCCCATTAATGTCTTGCGACCCTAATTTCGATTCCACAGCAGTTTTGCAGTTCCTCTGTCTGCACACGTTACGAACGCAAGCTTGTTTCGAGAGCTTCGCAGAAACGATCAGTCTACCTGTGACATCTGCGGCCTGAGATTGATCTCCTTCAGGTTGATCGTGTGAGGTCTCAAGTTGTTCAGCAGTTGGCAAAGCAGCACCCCGTCCCGCAGGGTTTGCGCCAGGTCGAACACCTGCGCCGTGTCCGCGGTCACCCGGTGGTTGGCGGGCAGCACGTTGCAGCTGATCAGCCACATCGCACATTGCCTCCAGTACTCCATGTTGTCGGGTGAGAGCGGTAGAAAAACAGCGCGTTTAATGTCGAATGGATAAACTTTGTCCCTCTTTTAAGCCTGCGCACGGCATGATAGCTGCGCTCAGCGCCGTCCGCTCGTCTCTCCGACCTCCAGCATCGCCTCTGGAGGACGCGGAGAGCTGCAGCAGTTTAAGAGCGCTGCATGTGGTGGGCTGCCAACCCTCTCCGGCTGTGTGAACTTCCCGCTTCCTTCTTCTGTGATATTTCCCCAGAGGTGGTCGTAGAAGAAATGTTGTATTACTTTACTTCTGAAATGAGTCGTCAGAGAAACAAGCCCTGTAAAACCCGGTCTTTGTGAAACTTCTAATGTTGTTTCGACATGACAGACGGTGTTTAATCAACGCAGATTATTTCCAAGTTTGATGTTTATGCCAATGTGAACCAGACTTCAAGGTTAAAATGTACATGTCTTGATACAGTTTTTAAACTTTATGTACGAAGCTCCTCCAGCTCTTGGCAGCAATAAAAACAGTTCACATTGGTGTATTAATATTGGTTTAATTGTATCTATGTGCCTCAAACTAATTATTATTTCAATTATTTCTGAATGATTGTTCTATAAACTCCAAAAATGCTCATCACATGTTCCAAAAAAATAAAAAATAGGAAATTTGTAGTAATATCAAAAAGATCAGTAGTTGACAACTTACTTGATAAATCACTTGATCAGCAGATTATTAAAATTGTTGGCAGATAGTGTTTTGTTGGTCGACTAACTGGTTAAAAGGCTAAAGACTTCCGCACTTATTTTATTACTCACACATATTTTTATTCTGAAAAACTGTGTGTGTTACATATTAATCCTTTCCCCTCACAGTCTCCCACTCTCAGTTGAAATTCCATGTGGATTATAAATAGCTTTGACAGGTGACTATGAGTTCTTTGTGGTGTGTATACCTTGTGTTTCTATAAGTTAGACAGTAAAGAATCAAGGGATCTAACAGGGACAGGGAGAAGGACATCCTCCTTGCATGGGATTTACTATAGACCACTGTCATTAAGCCCATGACATAAACACAGGAAGGAAGCTGGGGGATCCCATCTTGTTTTACACTGAGTGAGGGAGCCAGATGTTTCCTCAGACAATGAGCAAGCTCATGAATTTGTACTTGTATAAGAGTAAAGTTCAGCAGGAAAACGTGCTCTCTTTATTACTTAAATACAAAAATAATCACTAAAATACAATTGAAATACCCACCCGATGTACTGTCTACATCAGATAAGATCCCTAAAAATAAATTGAGGTCAATATTTAAAGCTACTCTAATCAACATTTGTTTTCCAAAAAATTAATTAAATGATTAATGTCGTTGCTTGCGATGAAATATTACAAAGGGAAAAAAAAAGACTGCTTACCTTTCCATGGCAACTTTATAAGCATGGCAATGCCTGGTTTACAGCCCAAGTGGCTAAAGAAATGTATAAAGCAGGTTTAAGACAAGGCCATTGTATTGCTTAATCACACTGTCCTGTCTAGAAGACGGTGAGAAGGTCTAGTTACTTTAAAGAACATCATTATTAAGTTTTGTGCAAATATTTTCTCATATTCCTAAATCTATGTAGAGCTACACTATTGCTCAGAGAATGTGAAGAAGTCTCCAGGGGCAAAAAATAAACGATTCATTAAGAAAATAAATTCTAAAGTGATGAATTAAAATGGTCAGTTAAATTAAATTAGTCACTTAAACTCCACACTTGATAGATATAGCGTTAAACAATGGTGATCTATATTATTTATTATTAATCATAATAACATCATTATTGTTAATGTTATTATTGTTATTATTACTAGTAGTAGTAGTAATATTATCTTTATTATTATTTTGCCTCGCGCGTCTCGTCTGTAAACTTCCGGAAGAAAAAAAACGAAGCGAGCACGACACCGGAAATGGAGCCCCAAAAAAGAAACTGAACCGTCAAAACATAAACAGAGCAGTCAACCTTGTGCGAACGCAGTTAGCTCGCTTTATAGACTGTCTTTTACAAAAAAAGCCTTATGCACGCATTCCGAATGTCGTGTATTCACGGTCAAACAACTCCTAGCCGAGGCACTTAAGTTAGCTCAATTGCTAAGTAAGAAAGGTGGAGAAAATAAATCTGCAATAAAGATCAGGACCAAACTAAGAAGTACGCCTCATCGGGCCTTCGAGTAGAGGTAATGCAAGCTATGCTAGTTAGCCACTACACGCAATGCTAGCTGCTTGTTCGCTTTATGACCAGCCGTTTGGTTGTTCAGCAGGAATATTTAGTTTAAATATCGGTTAGCCCACCGCAGGCTAGTTAGCATTAGCTCACGTTGACAACAGTGTCGGGTAGTCGAGCACTGCAGAGGACAATGCACTGTCAAGCATCACAAAGCAAAATACGGCATTAGTTGGGCCTGTGAGCCCGCTACCAAGCGAGTAAGTTTGTTTATGTCACGACAGACGGCAGGAGACAGACAGTAAAATTAGCCTGGCTGCTAGTGTGGACAGGTACATTGTGCCTCGCGGCACACAGTGCTGCGTCGGTAGTTGACAACACTTCAGCGAGTGCAAGCAATGGTGTCGTCGTACTGATGCACACACGTTTTCTGTTGTTTTGATTTGAGCCCTTGTTATTTTTTCTGAATAAACAACCTATACGTTTCTGTTCAAAGGTTCTCCCTCAGGTCGACGCAGGACAACGGATACATAATGTCTGAGGCTGACGGGAAATCAACTGCCCTTAACGGTAAATGGATCAGTGCAAGAAAATAACTGACTATTTATACTGGACCATAACTGTGTGAGCGGTCATGCTCAACATACAGTTAATCAGAGGACGTGTTTGGTTTTACCAGGTGGCTCTGAAGAAAAAGAACCAGAAGAAGATCAACACAAGGAGACAGATGCCTCTGGAAGCAAAGAGGGACAAACACAGTCTTCTTCTCAAGATGGTAACGACATTCATTTCTTAAGAATCGTATGCTGATAACTTTGATATGGTGGAGACAATGCTACAATATGTATTTTAATTTATGTTCATATTTAAAAGGATATATCTTTACTGCGTTGAACCAGTGCTACAGTTTACAGTAGTAGTTGTACACCTTTTTGTTGGATCTCCCAGTGAGACAGCAATGTCTAAACGTCCTCCATGGCTCTGGCTTACCTTACTTATGTAGCTCCCAAAGACACAGGAGAGGCATCTGGAGACAAGCCAATGTCCGATGTGGATGGAGAGATGGGGGGAAACAGAGAAGGAGAGGAGGAGGAAGACACAGACAGCATGGATGGCAGCGGTCTTTACTCCCTGACGGAGGATGGTGAAAGAGAGAGTGAGGGAGGCAGACGGGAGAGGGCAAAGGATAAAGATGGTGGGAAAAGGGCCGCTAGAAAGAGGAATAGACCCGGCGGCGGCACCAATCACTCCACCAGCTCAGATGAGGATGACGACGAGGACGACGACGAAGAAGAACAGAAAGATGATGATGACGAAGACGACGATGAAGCTATGGAGGCCTGGCTGGGAGCAGAGCTCTGTGACCTGCGTGGCCCGATATGGCGGGCGATACCCTCGCTGCGCTTGAGGGAGATCGGCAGGGACTCGCGCCAGTTTGTGAGGCGTGTGTGTGGAGCCCGTGGCCTCGTGCAGAGGCTGGAGCTCCAGGGCCGACTGGAGAGGCACACGGGCTGCGTCAACACGTTGCACTTCAACCCCTCGGGCACACGCCTGGCTTCGGGCAGCGACGACCTGCGAGTGGTGATCTGGGACTGGGCTGTCCGCCGTGCTGAGCTGGAGTTTGACAGTGGCCACAAGAGCAATGTCTTTCAGGTAAGGGAAAACAAAGAATCCTTGATTTAACAATGAGGGTTAGTGATTACTTTGTGTTTATCTCTAGTAAATGATAGACACAGATTGAAGTGACTGAGTGAGTGGCTAATCAAAGTGACTATTGTGGTCAGAGACTTCTTCTCTTCTCCCTGCCCTTGATCTACATAGGCAAAGTTCCTGCCTCACAGTGGAGACTCCACCTTGGCCATGTGTGCTCGAGATGGTCAGATCCGAGTGGCCGAGCTCTCTGCCACACAGCGCTGCAAGAACACCAAACGGGTCGCACAGCACAAAGGGGCAGCACACAAGGTGAGTGTCTGTGTACTGTATGTGTGACTGGAAGTGTTGAACTGACTATAATTTGGTGGTCAAAGGTTACTGTAACCTCACAAATCTCAGGATGATGTCATCTGCTAATTATGACAATTTCCCACGAATGTCTAATTGGATAAGTAAACTGCACCTTGGCTGGTTTGCGGGGGCATGCAATCGCTATGTGGTGATTCTAGTTTCTACTTGTTTTTGTTCCAGCTGGCCCTTGAACCTGATTCCCCCTGCTGCTTTCTGTCCGCTGGAGAGGATGCCGTGGTGTTTGGTATTGACCTGCGTCTGGACCGTCCTGCCAAGTGAGTGATACTATTATTAAAGTTTACCAAGTTCAAATTCAGTCACCTCTGGCAGTTTGTATTGTTGTTGCGCGAATATCCTGTCTTTCGCTCAGTGTTTGTGGACATCCACTTTTTCATACATTCCTCTTTGCCAGTTTTCCAGTGTTTGCCATAAGCCGTGATTATTTTGAAAACATTCCCCTTTCCAGAGATGATAATCCTGTTTTTCTGTCTCTTTTTTTTTTTAAATTTGTGTGGCAGTAAACTGGTGGTTGTAAAGGAAGGAGATAAAAAAGTGGGGCTGTACACCATCTTTGTCAACCCAGCAAAGACGCACCAGTTTGCTGTGGGCGGTAGAGACCAGTATGTGAGGTATGAAGCTCAAGTTGTGGTGCTAATGCTGATTATTTCACTATTAATGCAAAATGGAATCCAATGGAAATCGTACAGTAATATTTGAAATTGTTGCTTACTGTCTCTTAGATGTTACTTCTGAATTCCTTTTTCTTTTCTCACTTCCTCTTCTCCTCGCCCTCTTTAGGATCTATGACCAGAGGAAGATCAATGAGAATGATAACAATGGTGTGCTGAAAAAGTTTTGTCCTTCACATCTGGTATCCAGTGAGTCCAAAACCAACATAACCTGCCTCGTGTACAGTCACGATGGCACAGGTAAAAACAACTTGCACGACGAAAACATTTTAAGAAAAATAAGTTTAAAGTACTAAAAACATGACATTTAGATTTACCTATCATGAGCACAGCGGAGATAAAGACATGTAACAGCTTGCATGCAGTGTGTATGGAAATAACTGAATACCCCATAGCATGATTTCATTTCCTTGCAATCTCCTGTTTCACATTATCTTTGAATTCATTTTGATTATCTAATTTCTCCTTCTGTTATGAACATCTTTTAGAAATATTGAAAGTTCTGAATCCTGCATGCTTGTTTTAAATGTCTTAAAATGCCCAAACCTTTGCCCTTGTTAGCCTTCCTGATGCAACCACAATGCAATATCAGGGACACTCAAACACAATGGGGTCTATTCTAAAAAGGATGCGTGTGCTCTCTTCTTTGCAGAACACCAGTCAGGTCAGCTTTAGAGCCAATTACAGGAATTTACTTAGGTCCAATAAAAATCCAACAATTTAGCTGAACTTGTCTGAATATCTCTAAAAAAATTAAAAAAAGTTCAGACCATGTTCTGCCTTGATGGCATTAAAGGGAATTAACAAAAGACTGTTTGACCTCTTTTTTTTTTTTTTTTGTCTGCAGAGCTCCTGGTCAGTTACAATGATGAGGACATCTACCTGTTTGACTCCAACCACAGTGATGGGGCAGACTATCGCAGGAGATACAAGGGACACCGCAATAATGCAACAGGTGTTCTACTTAGTTCCCAACAATTTATAAAAAAAATGTAATCTATTGAGTCCTTTTTTCTTAAAGTATACAGCTGCAGAGAGATTGTGGTTATCACACAGACGAACACAGACGAACACATCCTCCCTCATCTTCACCTCTCTCTCACAGTGAAGGGGGTGAACTTCTACGGGCCGCGCAGTGAGTTTGTGGTCAGCGGCAGTGACTGCGGACACATCTACCTGTGGGACAAATACTCTGCTCGCATCGTCCAATTTATGGAGGGAGACAGGGGAGGAGTGGTGAGTCAAAGAGAGGGGGATGACATCTTTTTGTTGGGTTCAAAGATGACTTAGGATAGGCTGTAAAATGAACTAGTGCTTCTGTAATCTCTTTTTCTTAGTGTTCATTACTCCGTATCTGTATTCCGTTCCAAATTTTATTTTGATAAAACACACTTGCACTGTCTACTGGTTGTGGTGCTTTTTGCTCTTGAGACATCTGTCTTAACAATATTCTTTTTAAAACTTCGGCCATCTTCATTTTGTTAATCTTTTTCTCTGCCCTCGACAACTACAGGTGAACTGTTTGGAGCCACATCCCAATCTTCCAGGTATGGCCACCAGTGGGCTGGACCACGACATCAAACTGTGGGCCCCCACAGCTGAAAGCCCCACAGGACTCAAGGGCCTAAAAGAGGTATTCTATTCTGCTCCATTATCTCCGCCAGGAGGCTCATGGGATTGGGGGGGTTAGTCTGTTGTGGGTTGCATGCTCCTGTTCCCCAAATTCACACTTGTTTGTTGTGTTTGTCAAGGTAATGAAGAAAAACAAGCGGGAGCGCGATGAAGACAGTGTGCGCCACGGTGACCAGTACGACACCCAGCTGCTGTGGTTCCTGATGAGACACATGAGGAACAGACGGCCTCAGAGGGTGAGCTCTCGAACTCTCCAACAAACGTGCATTTGTTAATTATGTTTTTGGGTGTGGAGTTGAAAAGAAGTGAGCATCTACCAGACGGGTAGTAACAAAGGATGCAGAGTTTGTCTAAAGGTAAAGATATTTTCGCCTCTGCTTTGATTCTCCTTCTTCTTTTTTTAATCTGGGTTTTGCGAGTCCCCCAGTTTTATGGAAAGGTAATACTACATTGCTGGAGTGCCCCTTAAAAAGTATGTAGGATGCAGTTGGTATTACTCTTGGATTACGCTGGTAATTTAGCACTAAAAATGTACAGTGCTATTTCTAACATGAAGGACCAGGTTGACAAGATGTTTACATATTGTTTCAGCCCCAAAGAGTCTCATTCTAACTTTTCTGTGTCCTCCTCTTCTGTGTCTTGATGCAGGCCCGCCGTGAGGGTGCAGACACAGACACAGATGAGTCCTGGAGCTCTCCAGATTCCTCTGATGAAGAGGAAGGAGGTCCAGATCATGTACAGTGCATGTCCTCCTGAGCAACACACACACACACACACACACACACTTAGATATACATACAAACATGCATACATTTATTGCCCTTGAATTGAGGCACATAGGCAAACTATTGACACTCTGGCACACTCAAACACTGAGCCACAGACTTGTTCTTGTTTTCTTTTTACACACATACAAAGTCACAGATACAAACGCACTAAATTAAACATACTTTTGAAAGTAGTGACGGAGCTTAACGCCTGGTTTTCCATCAGTTGTGAGTGTGCAAATGACGACTACAGACCGCATACACACTTCCAGAATCCTGATTTTTGAGAATTGTACAAAGGGGTTTAGTGAGCGCTTGCATCCCTATGAACCACTCGGAGGGCCCCTGCTTGTGCATACATTATCTATATGCTCTGTCTAGCCCCAGAACAATGTACTGTGTGTGTGTGTTTAAGGTAACAAGCACCTCCTCTGTAGGCACCCTGTAGGAAGCTGTACATCACCAGCACCCCCCCCCTCTCTCTCTCTCTTAGTGACACACCTCTTGCTCTTGAGCTCTCAACCCATCCCCTAAATGTGACTTCCTTTAAGATCTGAACTGGTAGAGGGACACCCCAGTGTCCCCCCCCCCCCCCCCCCCACTGCATCGCCCCAGCCTCATACTGATTACCTGCGCCGAGCTTGTGCAGCTAGTTGCATTTTCTCTCCAAGGACTACTAAATCCCTACATGCTGCATCACCCGACATGCTTCTCCCTCCCCTCCTCTCTCCATCACCCTCCCCCTCACTACTGAGTGCACTTTGAATCAGGGACGCTTTAGTTTGAGACACAGACAAAATGTGCACTGAGTGTGTGACTTTGGGGGGGGGGGGGGGGGGTGTTTTCTCCTCTTGTGGTGTTTGTTTTTTTCTTCTAGTTTTCTTTTTTTTTTTTTTTTTTGAGTGGGGAGATATTTTGCACTAAAATGTTTTTTTTGCTTCCACCAGCCGTTGCTCCCCCTCTTCTTCCTCCCCGACTCTCCATCTTTGACAGGAAATCTTGGATGGTGTTCAGCATGTGCATAGGATAGTGATTGATGTGGGGCTCTGTGGGGTGAACTTAATCATCTTAAAGAGCCAGAACCGACCTTGATCAAATCCCAATTTAAACAATTGCTTGTGTGCTAATTGAAATTGGAGTAATAACCACGTGGTTCCTGAAAATGCCTCTGCGATGCTAACGGTCTGAAATCAACAGCTGAAAGACGTCTTTCAAACAAACATTTGAACACCATGACAACTCAAGGGGAGGGGGGTCAATATGCTTGCCAGTAATTTGTTGTGTGAGAGCGATAAAGTCCAGCTTTTCTCATTTTCTATGAGAACTCTAGTTAGTTGAATTTATATGTACATATATAAATATATATTAAAACTGTAAAAACAAAATCAACTTTAGCAAATGCTGTTTGACTTCAAGAAAAGAGAAAACAAGATGTCAAAACATTTGATTGGTATTGATGCAGAGGTTTATATTCTATATGAGGACAAAGTACTTTTAAAATCCAGAGAAAAAGAGTCGACTTGAGGCACCATTTTTCTTCAGTTTTTCCTTTTTGTGAATGACATCCTTCTGTTATGAGCAGAACAGCTGACGAGTATTAAATTTATGATTCTCTTGTTCAAGAAAAGAAAAAAAAATCGAGTTTCCTTTCTAGATACTCATCCATCATTTGAGACAGTTAAATCCAGATTTTCCCACTGGCTATTTTTGGCATCTTGTATACATAAGGCGTTTGAACAATTTTTTTGTCCACTGCCTAATATTGCATTCTACCAGTTAAGTTGGAAATGTGTACGATTCGTGCAATAAACAAAAAGACAGTGCTCTTGATGTTGTCATTTCACGGTCTGATTCTGTGTTGTATTATTGTAACATACCGTATTAATGATTTGATTGACATAAGTGGCTCCTATTCTTCTGTGGAGACTTGTCACCAGTTTAGCAGAATTCCAGAAACATTCACATAAACTTTGCAGTTTGACAGCTCACACTAATAATTCAAGTTATTGATATTCCTTGCCAATATTTGTTAGTGATTTCATACTGCAATTGAGAAGAGATTTAAAAAACAAAAATCAAAGTCTCTAAATTGACTTCAAGCCCCAAAAACGCTGGAACCTACATTTCCCATAATGCAACTCAGTAGCGTCCTTGTGTACTTAAAGCTCATGTGCGATACAACTACAGTATACCCCAAATTTGACCATCTCAGGACCACCATTAGGACTTTTCTGTCAGACTGATTGTTGCGATGTCTCCAGCTTAACTTCCGACACATTTTTGCTTTACAATTAATTTGGTCTGTAAGACTGTCATCGTGTAAAACATTATGCAACAAATCAAAAAAATTGTATGGCAGGACTTTTTTGGAAAAAAACAGATGTAGACAATAAATGAATGATGCTTAGTTTAATTTAGAAACTTCTGGTACTGTGCATGCTGCCTCACTGTCGAAGCTTACTGGGACATTTGAATACAAATGGGCCGGTGATTAGTCCTACAAAGATAATTCAGTGTGGAGGAAAAGACCTTTTGTATAAATGGATGTTTCAAGCAGACACCTTCCTCCTAGCCGTTTCCAACCAGGGACTCCTGAAGTAACTCTGGTGACAAGAGCAACCTTTAGTTCAGTCAATGCCCCCCCACAACCTCTTGCATTACATTTCTTTCCTTATTAAAATCAGAAGATCATTTAGGACCGGCTTGTTTCAGCCAAGAAATGAAAAAACAACCTGCCGAATGATCTTAACATGATGTTTTTATTCAACAGATCTCCGAGTGGGAATTTAAACTCAATACTTGTTGGCAGATTCCCCACACTTGTTGCCAGTCACACCAAAATCTCCATCAGACATGAAAGAGCCTTATTTCACATGAATAGAGCCGACAAACACAAATAGTTGACATGTACAAACAGTGGTGTCTGATCTGTAAATCTGACTGTGGTGTATTTTCTAGTTGGAGAACCTGAACTGACGTGCACAGATTACAGTAAACTAGTTCTTCAGGCTGGTGTTTAGAACAAAACGAGTTGTAAAAAATATATATATATATTTCCAGAACACATTTCAGACACCTGTGAAACGAAAGAGAACACAGCATCTTTCTCATGAATCTGACCTCTCATACTATCCGTCTCACTCACAACAAATGCAAAATGCTTTGAAATCACACGGTAAGGAATTCCATAAGACAGCCAAAAGAACATGTACATAATTTAGAACCGATGCAGCGCAAATAGCCCTTTACAACTCATCACAATTCATGAAAGTCAAATATGATCACCTGATATGGCTTCCTTGTAATACAAATAAAGCAAATATCTTTTGGAATGAGTTGCTTATCTACACAGTGAGCTAGTTTAAATCTCTCAAGCACAGGAGGAAACAGCTTCCAACCTGTTTGAGTCTGTCAGTTGGGCAGGAAGCCCTCGTGTCGGAGACGTGATCTAGCCCATCAGATACAATCCGCAATGACACAGTGCAGACAGAAATATTAAAAGAGGCACTACCATGGGCTTTCACGTGTTGCCTCAATTATGCTAATGTATACACTCGCACACATCACAATAAGAATCTGACAGCACAACAGTCGTGTTATTCCTTGTACTCCAGAAACTGCTGCAATCTTTTCCGGTGCTCTGCAGACATCTGGACAGCACTGAGGATTTAAAAAAAAAAAAAAAACATTAAAAAAAAATGACTATACGCATTATTATCTTTAGGATTTGAAGAAAGTCAATTTTAACGACGGGCCTTACTTTAAGTGATTTCCAAAAGTGGTTGTTAACCTGTAGATGGCAGTCTTGAGAGTGGCCCTGAGAGCAAAGCGCAGTGTTTTGTGAGCGGACTCTCCCATGCTGCTGGCCGACCTGACGGGCTTACTGGAGGCATGAGGCAGCTTGAAGTGTCGATCTACTGCCTGAAAACAAGGAGGACAGGAAACAACTGCTGTCAATGGGTGAAGTGATCTCGTGTCTGTGTCGCCATGTACAGCATCTGTACAATTCTCCGCTTCTCGTCTTTTACATGCAAAAACAGTTGAGTGAATGTCAATCAATACAAATGTCGACAACTGAATGTTGCACAGATACAGAGAAACTCTTATCTGGCTGAGCCACCAGAGTTTACACCATGTGGATAAAGGAAAGATGATTTAGATGAACTCGCCCCTCTACAATACAGCTGGCCCTCAGGGTGGCTGCAGTAAACCATTACAGCTTACCTCTTGTAAGACCAGCATGCAACCGAGAATGCTGGGTAACGTAGTCTGTACAACACCAAACTGGTCTTCTGAGAAGGAGGCTTGAACAAGGTAAGACAGCCCTGGAGGAGGATATTAGAGGAGATAATCATGTACATGTTGCATCACCAAGGACAGGTCGCATCTGTATCAAATGAAAATTAACACCAACATCTCTTCCCACCTTCTAAAGCCCAGATGTGAGCCTGGCTGTCTGCAAACAGAGCTTGACTGGAAGCTTCTGGAAGCTGTAAGAGACAATGTTAGCTTGTACGAGCTTTCCACTGAACAGCAGACTGATGAATCAGGAAGTTGTTGGATTGGACAGGTTTGAATGAGACTACATCACAACATGCATGTGTGATCAACGGAAGATAGGTGAACCTCAGGAAGCGAAGCAGATTAACCAAACTAGTTTCTACAAATAGGAAATAGTGCAACGCAAGCACAATATCTGGTGGTGATAAACTCATCAGTACCTCACACTACTGATATAACAAGGACATGCTTTCTCAACATTTAATGGTACAAACAACACTGTTTTTATAGTACTCAAGTGACCTGCAAGACAAGTAGGTTACAAAACTCCTTAAAACCAGCTTTTAAAGTAATTAGTAACATTGTATCGTAACAGCTAGGGGAATGGAAAAGAGCTTCATTAGTAATGTGTGCACAACTGAGCCCAGAACCAGGAGGTAAATTAGTGATGCTTGGAGGGGGAGGTTGTTCGGTTTAGTAAAACTAAATGAAAATCTGCGGTGTCAGATGAGAGCATGCAGGGAGCCCCTCAGTGTCTAAAGAAGACAGCATGCACATGCCACACAGCCTTACCTTGTTAAACAAATACATTATCAGCACGCGTTTGGCCAAGAAATGTTTAACCTGAATGGGACAATTAAGTATAAAGTTGTTTTGCTTTCAAAACTACACAACAAAATGTAAGAAATGTAGAAATAATGGCCTTATAGACTTAACAGAGGGCTGAACAACGATGACAAAGATGGACTAACACTCCATCAGAACAAAGGCAGATAATGTGACCGTTACATTATAAAGCAGAGGTGATCCTCAGTAACCAGGCTACAAGGAGGTTCTTAATTGTTCTTAATTAAGTTGACACTCCTATCTTATTGCTCTGCCAGCACAGAGGGGATTGGCTTTGTTCATTTTCAAACGTGCACTTGTTAGCCAATCACTGCATAAAGCAGAGATGAGTGTCGGATTGTTTGGAAAGTTAAAAAAATAAATAATAATCAGACAAGACGAACCCCTCTGTATGGAAACTATTGTTAGCCCAATGTTAAGTATGAAACGCCTTTAGTCAATGCGGTATAAACACATTAGTATATCCATTGTATATTGAAGTACCTGTTCTTTTCTGTTCTGGAGGAACTGAGCCAGGCGACTTGGTTTGGACGGCTCCTGCTTGGGACTGGGAACTGAGGCAGGGGATGCCGGGGGACTGCCATTGACCTGTGAATCTGCACAGAGAGACGCCAAGTAAATAAGTGGGAACAAGCAAAAAAAAAAAAGCTCATATCTACTAATCAACCATCTGCTACTAAACTTATGCAATGATACTCTGACCTATAAGTCGACATCATGCCATACCAGACGTTCCAAAACCTCTGTTCAGTCATTTGAGGTGAATAAACACAGAATATAGAAAAGGTACAAAATACCCCTCAAAATTGACTCAACATTGGTTTCAGAGCTATAAAGAAACCAATCAAACGAGGTTAAACTTATCATTTACTGGATAAAATTGGACCTTTAAGTGTGTTTGATTTGAGCCTCTTCTCACCTGTGGGGGTGGACCAGAGCTTTGGGGCTCTCCTCATGATGTGTGGGCTTTGCACTGTGCCAAACCCTGGCGAGAATTGGTCCATAGGAGCAGTGAGCCGGCGCAGGGCGGGAGAAGCAAAGGGGCTGTCCAGGTCAGGAGTGAATGGTGCCGTCAGAGGACTCTGTGGGGCGCCGACAATGGAGCGTGCGAAGACAGAAGCGGGAGTCTTCATAAGTAAAGTGGGCCTCGGGCTCATCAGATCTTCTGGGCACGAGGTTACTTTAAGAAAGAAAGAAATGAAATGATGAAGGGAACTGGGCATAAATAATGACATGTTATTATGTTTTAAAACAACATACTTGACGTCTCAGACGAGGTCTTCCTGTCACTCCCAGTAGACAGTGATTTGGCCCTGCCATTGGGTGCTACAGTGTCATGGTAGGCTATGAGTCTCTGGGTCAGATCAGCCAGCAGAGACAGACACTCCTGAGTGATGGCGTTCCAGTTGTGAGGATGGCCACCTGAAAGACGAGAATGAAAATAAATACTTTTTGCTTTTGTTGTAAGCTAATTATGTATCAATACAATCTGATCATGCAGAGTGTAAATTTTGTTTGCAAATAGTCAATCAGTAACCGCTCATGCAAGGACCACTTGTCTGTGTAGACAACAAGACAGACCTGGCTGACTCAGACCGAAGACCTCACAGCGTCTTGATGGGGAGTGTTGAGACAGCAGAGCCAAGTCCTGCAGAGCTAGGAACTACAATTTGGGAAACGACAAGTTACAACACCCATATGTGATTAGCAGCAAGCACAAAGAAGAGGAAAATCATGCATGTTATCTACCTTCAATATCATTGGTTGCTTGTCCGTCAGAACTTTAGGAAGACACTGATGGGCGTCCTCAGTAAAAGATGACTGCACAGGAAAACTGTAGACCTGCATATAACAGGAAATGCATTAGATGACATATTATCTTAGAAGTCCCACGCCTCAAGTGTACATTTAATCGAACATGTGAGATGAGCTCTGGTCTGGTGCTTTTCAGATACTTGAGAACTCAAAGCAATGACAACATTGCCCCCTAGTGTCTCTAAATAATTAAGAAGCAAACAGAAGTCGTCTCTGCAACACAACACTGTACTTTTAAGCCAATTGCAGTCACAAACTGGCAATAAGATGCGATTGTCAGAACTGGGCCAAGTCCATGCAATTGTATGCTGGTCACCACGGCCAGCTGGCACTGGGGGTAAACTTTAGCCTTTGGATGTGCTCAAGTCTGGTAAATTAAATGTTGATCGACAGAAAAACAGAACTTATTACAAGATAAGAGAAACAGAGAGGGAGATGTGTAGAAACAGCAGCACTGTGAGACCTTTGGTTTTTCAATATTAGGGATTTTTATACATTTTGTCTGTTATTGATTGACATACCTCAGTGACAAATATCCTAAAAAGCAGCAGTGTGATGTGCCACGTGAAGAGAAGGAAGCTGGCACTGATCCACTGGTGGTAGAGCAGGGAGAGGTCCAGCAGTCCAGCTACGCTGTCCAGAGGGTGGACAGAGCTGGAGATCACAGACATGAATACATGAATGCAGGCCAGGAAGCAGCAGTGTGCCTGCAAGTCATTTTGTTTGTACAGATTATAAAGCCAGTTGAGGCAATTTGTGATATTGGGTTATACAAATAAAATTGACTTGATATATTTTAAAAAAACATAATCCTTACTGACCTGTTCAAATGAAGATTCAGTGTTTTACAAATCCATGCTTTTGGAATGTATCCTGTTAATAATAAAAAGAAATATTTTGTCTATCATCTCGAACAACTTTGATCAAGAACAGAATAAAAACAGCAATAAATAAAAGAGACTTTTTGGGAGAAGATCATGGAAGTTTTAACTCTTACAGCAGTTTGTTCTAAGAGCTCCGTGTTATTGAAGTTTCCTTTGTAGACAGAGATCACTTACCCAAAAAGAAATACACAACAATGTAGTTCCTGACAGAGTAAAGTGCTTGAGCGGCGCTGCACTTCACCACCAAAGGTAGGGATCCTTTAAAGCGAAGGTATTTGTATTGCTGGGGGAAAATAACAGTGGGTTAACGTCAACGCTCATCATCCACCATTTAACGGTGCCAGTCATTTTATTTTTCTTAAGTTTGGGGCGAGCCTGTGTAACTGGAGATAACAGGGCTTACAACACTGTCAGTGCGCATGTTGATCTAAAATGGATACCAATTCTAAATGAAAACAAACGGCAGTCTTTGAGCCAGGTGTGTCTTCCAACGACCACTGATGTATTTTTTTGATTGAGTGATTACAACCCCATACCTGAACAGTGTGAAAAGAGACATAGTTCATGTTGTAGATCACGCCAAGCAGACTGTGAGAGAACCCAACAAAGGCTCCAGCCAGCAGAAGGAAGAGGTGATATTCATTCAGGCACATCTGAGGGGAACCGTCAGTGCTGAAAAACAAAATTGAGGAAATTAGACTGAGGATGAAGCATGGAAGGCTCAACGTGATGAGTTGTACGCGACAAGCTGCTCACCCATCACCCTGTGTGCAAGGGTAGCCGATCGTCTCGTATCTGCCCCCGATAGTGACAGCGCAACACCAGGCCACAATTATTCCCATGATGCAGTGGGCCAGGGAGTTGACAAACTGACGAGGGTGGAGCAGCTGACCCAACAGGGCAATTTTTGAGCATGCAATAGTTGGGATGACTGAAGAGAAACAGAAAAAAACACAACCAGTTGCAACCAAAGGCTAGCATATGTGCCAATGTGTACAAACAATTTGCAATGTAAGCATCGTATTGATTGATTTGGCTAAGATTATACTGTGTGTAAATAGTGCTAATATGTAATGATTAATTAAAAGACAGATTTGTAACGATAAAATACAAAATGTACAAAAATTGCTTGTTGCCACCATTTAATGAGAGGGATCCAAACACTTTCTTCTTGCTGTTGAACGTGTAGCTAAGGCTTGAATGTTGACTGTACCCTTATGCTTCAGTGTGTCCTCTCAGGGAAAACACAGGAAGCGTATTCATCTTTGAGTCTTGAGGATAGCTCAAGCTATTCAAAATAAATCCTGCGGTGCTTAAGGTGTATGAGACATGTACCGCCAGCGTTTTAGGTCCTTAGGTCTATGTGATTTGATTTTGGAGCAGTTTAAAAATGTTCTTCCAGATCGTATTGCGACATACACCATACATAATATGATGCATCATCACACACATACATAATCGTTGATGATAAGCTGATGTAATGCATCTTTGCTCTGATAAACTGAACACCTACTAAACCAGAGGCTGGAGGACATTGTCAATCAAGGAAATGCTTAATATACATTTGCAGTTATCTGCCACCTACCTGTATAATACTCCAGGTTCAGGAACCCCACCATGATGATCACTCCACACAGCAGGATCAATGAGAAGATGGCACTTGCACACGATAAGAAGGACAGGCATTCTGCATGCAAGAAACAGACCACAGTGAGATTCACACAACTTCAGATTGATGACGAGTCAAATCTCACAATGAACGTGGTGACTGACCGGATATTGTCTGGATGGGGTGGAGCAGACTGAACCTGCTGAGGATTACAAAAACCACTGTGATGGGTAGCAACAACAGGACAGCCCAAGCAATACTGGCCACCGCTCTCCAGCAAATCACCTGAAAAGAGCAGTCAGTCATTAAATACATAAATCTTTAACCCATCTTTACAGAGCAGTGGCTAAACAGACAACGTGTTCTGCTCCTTAGTTGTCAATTTGTTATAGAAAGGTATAATAGCCGATTCCAAAAGGCCTCTCTCGATTTCTTTGCAGACTTTTGATCTCTTTTCTCTTTAAAACCCTGTTCCAACATTACCTACTCCCAAGACCTGAGATGTAAACCTGGGTGATATGAAACGCAGTAACAGTTTAATCTGCAAGAAGTTTAAATAATACTTAGTTGGTAGTGTTCACCACTCCACCACGAGGACAAAAATATATGTATTTGAGCTGAAAGATCCTGTTTCTGAAAATGCAAACAAACAAAAAAAGGACCCAGATTTTATGTAATGTTTATCCAGTAAGGACATTTTATATCCAGTTTAAAACTTAAGTGATGGGCAGCTTTATTTATTTTCTGACATTTAACAGGCTAAACGATTACTTGACTAATCAAGAAAATATTAGGCAGAGTGTGTCCTAATAAAAGTAATCTTCTGCAGCCCCGGGTGGTTTTGTTACATCCTCTTTATTATCTGTTCTTCTCTTTTAAATCTCTTTTAAAATCACTTCTTAAAACATATTGGCTTATATGTAATATCCTCGCTTTACTGAATTATTTTGTTTAATTTATTAGTTTATTTTTATCGTATCGATTAGTTTCATCTATTGTAGTGTTTTATCAGGGTTTAACTCTTACCTTAGTTTGTCTTGCTTTGTTGGACCTCACTGTTGAGCTTTCTGTTGTATTGCTTTGTAAATTCTGTTTTTAAAGGTGCTATATAAATAAAGTTATTATTCTGAGGTAGAAACTATGAAAACGCACTCAGAATTGTTCAATTGTATGATCTTAATTGGATTAAGATGGGTAACTCGTAAAAGTGGACTAACGGACACACATTTTTCAGATGTCTTTATACTTGATTTGGCTCATTTCTTTCCAAAAAACTCACCATTATGTCAAAGATTAGTGGGGGAAAAAGCTGTATAAGTGCAGGTCTTATTTCTCTGAAAGATATATTAGCTACGCTACCGATGAACTAGCATAAACAGACAGGCTACTTTAAGTTAGCACGCTAGCACCCGCAACACGTCTTCTCTTTCATGAAAGAAGAATTGAGTTTAAAGACTCACCTTGCGGACAAACCAGCAGCTTTGCTCTGTAGAAAACATGTTGTTTGGATAGATGGAGAGCCAAACAACGACAACAATCTCTTCGGCTCTCCTGCTGTCAAACTATTTTCCACCGTTTCCCATATCGCGCCACATGCATTCAAAGGACCCTTGAAGGACCCCGATAAAAACGTTGTCCGTGTTCCTGCCTGTTGGTAGTATCACATCCACCCGAATTTAGTTTAATAAACGTATTTAACAACAACAAAAATATGTATAAATGTCAGTCAGGCAGTTGCGCGCTTGATTAAACGGAATAAGCTCACAAACAATAGCTTTGAAAAGCTGCTTCAGTTAAATGTTGATCTATAAAGTTAGGTTTAGTTACACAAATACTGAAATAACTACATTATCACAGAATCAAATTACACAAGGCACCAAAAAGTCATAAATAACATTAATTAAAAAGTATCTCAGCTTTACTTTCTTAATACAGAGTGTGAGTGAATATCAGTCAATGAGTCGGGTCAATTCTTTATTCCTTTTGTTTCATCATGCATGAAAGCTTTCTTGTCATGATGAAAGCCATTCCCATAGGTCGGAAAACTGTGTTTATCCAAAACTGTTTCATCATTGTCCCGAGAGAATGACTTGGTTTCAAAAGCATTGGCGGGAAGCTTTTGGGATGAACTGACGGACATCTCGGTTTGAACTGCTTTGTGGTAGAATGGTTTCTGCACAGGTTTCTGGGCAATTGCAGGGAGGGCAAGCTGCTCCCTTTGGACCTTCTTGTCTTCCCACAACTTCAGCAAGCGGCGTTGATTATTTGTCATATCCTTGAGATTTTGCTGCAATGATTGCACTTGATCCTCCAGAAGTGTTTTAGAGGTGACTGTATTGGCCAACTCTGAAGTCAAATCATCAATGTTCAGACTCAGTTTCCCAGCCTTCTCCACCAGGGAACTGCACTCACGGTCCTTTTCATGCAAGTCATTGATTATGTCCTTTGTGGTCTTTCCATTGAACTTTGGGCTGCTCTCAAGTCCAATCTCGGTACGAAGAGCCTTCACTTGTTTCCTCAGCTCCTTGTTGTCCATAGTCAAGCTCTTCAGTTTCTGTCTCACAGCCTCAGTTGAACGTATCCTCGACTCATACTGTCTGAGTTTCTCTCTGAGAACACTTTCTCTGTGCATGGCATCGTCTCTTTCCTTTCTGCATTTCTCCAAAAGTTTCAATGTCTCAAATTTGGACACTTTCTCACCTTTCCCATTTGAAGTGGCCATCCTGTGGCAAGATTTTCTTTTTAATAAATGTTTTTACTCACAAGTTAATCAAATAGTCCTTGAGCATTATGTCGGTAAATCCACCTCACAAGCAGCTTCATGTTTGCCTAAGAGCGAGACAGGTGACATTCCTCCAACAGGGTTATCCGTTTGACAGGCAGCTCCTGTGTAACACAAAGCTGGGGCTAGAATGACCATTAATTAGGGCGCCACCATCCCTGTGACACCGTTTCAAGTGACACAATTCTTTTTTTTCTCCCTATTTTGTTAAATAATCTGAGAACTTGTCCTTGTGAATCAATGCTTATATGAAACACACGCTGCATGCCTGTAGAAACAGACTTTACATACATAAGTAACAGTTTCCACTGCAGGTGATCAGTGCATCCAAACAGTGACACAGTAGATTCTATCGGTTTGCTCAACCACACGACAGTTAAGATGGACGAGTTGGAAAAGCAGTAGCAGGAGCCAAATGTCCACTTTAAAAGTTAGACGCTCTCTTTGCAATCATCCAAATTAGCTACAATCCCTCCCTTAAATATTTAAAAGGTCCAACTGTTGAAATGTACTGGCAGCCTTTAATGCTCTAGGAGCTGGAAAAAAAAAAAAAACGTCACGTTGCCTACACGTGTGGGGTGGGGTGGAAGAAAAAGGTGAACAAAAAATGTGTTTACCGACATCTTAAGCATTTATATGATGCAACTATCCAGAGTCACTCCATTCTGAATCAGGAAAATGTAAGAAACACCGCAGTGATAAGATTTAGTCTCTTAGTTTGTTTTAAAATAGATTTGAATTGCAGTTGGTGTTTAGCTTAGTTTTTCCTTGTTGTAAACTTGGAAAATATGTCGACAAAATGACATGTTTAAAGGAAGAGTTAGACATTTTGGGAAACGGACCCGTCTACTTTTTTGGTGAGAGTTTGATGAGAGGGTTGATTTCACTCTCATATCTGTCAATTAAATATAAGGCTCCAGCTAAAAGCCAGTTAATGTAGCTGAACATAAAGACGAAACAGGGGGAAACTGCTAGCATGGCTCTGTCTGAGGGTAACAAAATCCACTTAGCAGCACCTCTAATGGCGAAAACACGCCAGCGCAGCGATGAAGTGTAGCCAAAGCAGAGCTGCCACGCAATGTCTTTGGAAAGCTGTGGTGGCTTAAAAATTTGGAGATGGTTTAACATTTAGCGGCAAAGTGCAGCCAGAGGATAATGTCAGCCAACCAGAAAACAGAGTCCTGTGACTCCTGTGACATGTTAACCTATTTTACAAAGAACTTCTTCCTGTCTGATACATATAAAACACACCTCACGGCTGTAGAAGAATTTAATTATTGTCGCGAGCCGCACCTAAACATTGTAACACATTGAAAGATAACAAGCATATTTTCCTAAATGTGGAATTATTTCTTTAATGTGTAAAGACAGTATGCAACTTATCTGTTCATAGTTTCATTTGTGCTTGAACATAGGCTCCGGGTGGACTGTAAATCATTGTCATAACACCTTTATTATCGATGGTTTCATTAATAAAGTTGGGTGCCACAAAGACCATTTTTTATTTTCTTCCAATGAAACATCATTGAGAACGGACATTTTAAAATCCATAAATCTGATCAACTACAGTTTGTAAAATGTAAAAACAAAAAAAAAACCCTGTTGCAAATTGTAAATACCGTGGACATTTAGAATGGGTCTTTGGCATTAGTTGTGGGCACTTGCGGTTAAATCAGTTAGAGGAAAATACAATTACTCTATTTGTACACAATAAGTCCAACCCTTAAAAATCTTAACACCACCAATAATTGTTGTGCTGTTAATACGGAATATTTTTTACACAAAGTATACCGACATGTTCCCATTAACTGAATATAAAATAAAATGCATATACAAAATGCCTTCAACGCTACCAACATTACTGCACAGACTGGTTGTCTAAATATTTCAACATAAGAACAATAAAGCGGAAAGCTAACATACTACAAGAGATCTCATGTGCTGTGTAACACCGTACCCCATTTATCTTTAAGGAAATGCAGAACCCATCCCATTAGAAATAACATACTTGGTACCAGTGTTCATTTTCAACAGTCATGCAGTTGTACCGAGAATGCACACTGGGTTTTAAGGTCTTGAGCCAGAACGTCCGAGTGAAGGTGAAATCCAGACGACCCATGACTTCATCAACACAGCAACCCAATTCTCTCTAATAAGGCAACCGGAGAACCTGCAATTTAAAAAAAAAAAAAAAAAAAAGAATAACACTTGCTTAGGGAAGAAGAAATCGTGTAAGGGAAGTCTGGTGTTAGATGCTCTGTTCTAGCAGGTGAAGAAAAAAAAAAAACACACGCTCGAACTAAAGCCCCTAAAATAGGCCAATGCAACAATGTAGAGCTGCTACAAGTGAATGCAAATTCAAAGGGAAAGTACAGGGTGGAAGAATATGACTTGTGTCGGGTTAGTAGTGTATTTGTACAACGGGATCACGGCTTAAAAAGCGCCTGGGTCACTGTTGGTTACCTTTAGTAAAATAAAGGCTTTCATGTCGGAGAGGGTGCTTTGGTCACATCTGTTGCAGCAGAAATGTCAGCTGGTAGTGCTTGTTCTGGTTTGCTGAAGAAATAAGCCTAAAAAAAAAAAAAAAAAAAAAACAACAACAAGGAGAGGAGAGTAAAACAACCCGGCAAAGAAACAATTACAGTAAGTGTGACATGAGAGAATACAGCATTCTTGCCATCATCCATTCATCTTGATCAACCATCAGACCATCAGGCTTACTTTGTAGACTAATTACATTTAATGCGACCAGACATACGATACCTCTGTGCACCTGACAGGAAAGCACTAACGGACCGTTCTCACACCAGTTAGCCAATGCAGTCACAGTTTCCAATGAAGAGCGTCGCCCCAGAGGGAGTTAACTTGACACTATCAGGTATAGTCATCTCCCAGAAACCCACATGGAGTCTGTGTAGTGTCGGTGATTGACATAGACTAGTTGGGTCAGAGCTTGGCCGTGCTACTGAGATCATTGAGTGGCTCAATGATTGTTGTTATCTACACCAACATGGACAGGCAGCTTGAATCAACTGGATTAATGAAGATGTGGTTGGCCAAAGCAACTGTTGTATCGTATTTCTTCGAACAGATTTATTTTCCATACCTCCCAAATTTGTAATGAACCCTAACAGTAAAGTTACATAAAAGCAACAGCATGGAGCACAATTACCTCACAGCCGACAGCAAGCAGGACGTTGAGCACAACAATGGCCGACATGATTGCTATGATAATTTTAGGGTGGTCATCCTTCACTGCAGGCCAGAAAGTCATCACCAGAACTGAGCCAGAGAGGCAGAGAGCCACCACGATGGTGCACCACCGCAGCCATTCATATGGGAGGATCCATAGGACCTTATGTAGCAAACGACAGTGCATTATATAATATGTGGCTCATTTAAAGAGAATTATTAGACATAATGAATGCTCGAAATGTTTCATGGATACAAGGAAAATAAGTATTAATCAACTGTCAACATTTGTAATGAAAGGTAACAATGTTTGCTATATGCAATCATTAAATACAGGGTACTAATGTCAACATAAATGGTACATTCTAAAATGAATCACATGCTGTGTGCGAAAGATATTAAAATATACAAATATTACATTTTACAGAGGTGAATGTTCTAACCACATTGTAGATGAGTCTGGTGATATTCTATCCTACTATTGTATGTATACCCAATCCCACACACACACCTTCCTGCTGTCATTAAATATTCATTACTGCACCAACTGTGTATTAATCAACAACTGAAAATATTCCTCAAAAAATGCACTGTTTGCTCTTGTTTGAGTTATGTTTGCTAAAAGCTACAGTGTTAAACTGGTTTACAGAATTACTGAGCCATTTAAAAAAATGAATCTAGAATTCTGTTGCCCATCTTTTTAATTTTACGTCTTCAATTGGAACCGATGGTCTTGGGGCTGAGTGCCACACACAGAAACTGACATTCTGAAATGAAAATTGTAGGTCTTACCACTGCTGGTATGTAAATCGCAAGGGAATATCCATACACACAGACGATCTCCATGAAGGAGTACGACACCAAGTTCATGATCTTGTTGTTTCTCCAGAGCAGGAAACCCCACAGGGCAAGGGGCACAAACCAAGCATAGCTGAAGATCGCTGTTGCAGCTATCGTCACTATAAAAAAGTGACACAGCAGAATAAAAAAATAAGTTATTTAAGCAAAATGTACAGTCTCCTCTTACATTCAATCTGCACAAGTGAGCCTTAAATACCAAAGAACAGCAGCACGTACCTTTTTGAAACTCTGGGGTGTACTTGTAGTTTGGTTTGCCTAAGTGCACCACAAAGTTTGATATGTTTCCACTGATGGCGATAGCAAACACAAGGGTGGTGCAAATCCAGAATGGTCCTGAAAGCACACATATCAAGACATTTGAACTTCAGTTTGTGTGCCCATTTGGTTTCTTTAAACAGCATTCGCTACAAATATTACAAAATTCAAGCTACAGAAGAGGGACAAAATTGTCTCTTTTTTTTCACAAACAGAACATGTCTGACAACCTCTTATTAGGACACGCATGTTAAACGGTTTGTGTGCGTACCATACAGATCAGGATTTCTACGAAGGTAGAGATGAATGAAATTCTTTCCAGGCCATGGCAGCATTGATCCAATGATTCTTTCCTTCACCTGAAAGAAATGTTAATAACCATTACACGTGTCAAGGTAACAAGACAAAATGTAACATTTAAAAGTCATTAAAATAAGATGTAAATATATTACGTGATGGGTCTCGACGTCAAAAAATCTTTGATAGTACTCAAATGTCCAGAAGGGGACACTTTTCTGTTGCCCAGAAAGAAGCTTCAATTGGGAAAAAAACATGGAGAAAAGCTAAATTAATCATCGACATTTAATAGCTGACGGAAATGCGTGAAAGAAAGTGCCATTGTTGTGCAGACCTCTGTCTTGTCATCACTGGCCAGTGGTTCCTCGTCATCACCATCAGGAGAGAAAGCAGCAGCTCTTCTCTGCTTCTCGGGTTTGATTTCGTCATCTTCAATACTAATGGTGGTTGCATCTCTGTTGGCTTCCAACAGATTGCCAGCTTCTTCAAATTCTAATTTCATAGGATGGATGAATGGAGATCGTTAATCCAAAATGTGGGCAGATTATGGGTGAACTATGATTTATTTCCTACCAATAAGTGCAGCACAGGGAGAGTAATGAGAGATGTGTGTTTACAGATGCCACACAGACTGGGAAAGAGCACAGCAAACTGAAGCTAAACATCAATGTAGCAGCTTAATTCCTTAATCAAACAAAGAGATTGTGGAGGACATTTACCTTGAAATTGGAATGGGTCATTTGTCGACGCCATTTACACGGATTCACTCTCCGTGGGTCGCCTCACAGTAACGTATGAGCGAGTTAATGACAACTTACTTTGGGAAAGCTACGGAGGAGAGAAAATAACATTTTAAACTCCTAGGCCTGATTATTCCCTCAGCGTATGTTTTTTTGAATGAATACGTAGTAAACTATAAGCAATACAGGGATAAAAGTTAGCTCAAGTTAGCCAAGCCTTACTTGACAGCTCATCAACAACTAACATTAGCTTAGCTATCTAATGGTACATTAGCTCACGTTAGCTAACTGTCTAACGTGACTTTACGACTCAGAGTCGCATTTGCATTTTAAAATCAGTGCACAGTTGTTGTTGTTTTTTTAAAGACAATGCATGCTTACCAAAACCCAAAACAATCCTTTCACTTCCGTCAGGTTGGAATCAGTGGTTGGAACAGGACATACTAGCCAGAGCCGTTTAAAGAGAGTCACGTCATCTCCGTTCATTCCAATGGACCATTATTTGTTTAAAGCAATAGTTCCCGGAAGTTAGCAGAGTTGTGCACGAGCAAGTGTTCTTCTTCTTCTTCTGGTGTTACTTTGGTTGGCATCCAGGTCATTGGTGCATTACCGCCACCTTCTGCTCCGGAGTGTGTATCAGAAAATATACTTTTAATTTATTCCTCAAAACAAACAACAACACATACCACGTTGATCTACACTTAATATATTTATGTATTTATATTTTTATATTATATTTAGGCTTTTTCTAAGTAAAAAAAACCCTGCAATGACCTGGGCCTTTCCTAGTTAACTCAGACAGAGAAGAGGATATAGAAATATTTAATGGCAATGTAAGAGATGCTATAATTGGTGCTGCCAATCAGACAATTATGAGGTAAGCCTACAAAAAGGTGGAATGGTGAGTGCAGTGATCTAATAAAAAAAGATAATAAGGATTTTAAAGTAATACAATACACCAATTTCAAAAATGTCAAAGAGTACAAAAGAGCGAAAGCAGTAGTTTGAAAAACTATTAAAGAAACTAAAATTAAGTGTTGGAGAGCATTTTGTAACACTACAAGGAGAAGCACTTCAATTAATCAAGTTTGGGGAATGATGATGATAATGGGGAATGAGGCGAGTAAAACGGGAGTGGGGGTACCCAATATTGGAAAATTGGCAAGTGAGAAAAATAAATGGAATATCAGTGAAAATGTGTAAATGGGTAGAGGACTTTTTGTTTGGACGCTCTAACGAAGTGAGCTTGGGAAGGTGTTTTTCAGCCAGCTATTTTTACAGTTAATGGAACGCCACAATGAAGTGTAATTAGAATTTAGTTGTTTTCAAAAATGATTGATGATGTGTATTATGATGATGGACAAAGTATAGGGAGATCTGTATTTGCAGATGGTGGGGCACTGAGGAGAATATGTTGTGAAACAGATGCAGGAAACAATCAAAAGAGTGGAACAGTGGTCATTGGAATGGGGATTTAAATTTTCTGTTGAGAAAAAGAAAAATGATTTTCTTTACAAGAAGGAAAAGCTGAAAAGAATAGACTTTTGGGGAATGTGGTTTGATGCTAGACTCACCTGTGTACATAGTGATAAAATGGTAAACAAGTGTAAAAGGTTTTAAATGTGATGCGGTGCTTTGTGGGAACAGAGTGGGAGCTGACAGGTCTGCTTACAAAGCTGTATCATTCAAAGCCGACCTGTCAGCTTGATAAGATCAGTTCTGGATTACGGTAGTGTGGCATAAAGGTCGGCATCTAATCCTTGTTGGGAAAACTGAATGCAATACAAGCACAAGCATTAAGGATAGGTGGGGCTTTTAAAACAACATCTGTGGCAGCATTGCAGGTAGAAATAAGGATTCATGTGCAGCATTGATGAGCATTTGATATTTTGCAACTCCAGGAGTAGAGAGGATTCATTGTTTGAAATACTACAATCATTATTCAGAATTCATTAAATGCTGCTGTCTGTTTATTTTGTGTGGGTCCTTGATGTCGTTGGAGTTGATGGGAATGAGAAGGCGGATAAAGCAGCAAAAAGGGCTTTGAAGAGTGAGAGTAATAACATGAATGTAGTCAGAAGGTAAAGGGGGGATTAAGGGATTTATCAAAAAGATATGGCAGAATGAATGGAATAAAGGGAGTGAAGGAAGATATGTCTTTATAATAAACCCTTGGTTGGGAGTGCGAAAACTAGTGGACGAAACACGAAAGAGGATTAAGACTAAGGAATGGTCTTACTGGTTTTAACAGTTCCCTCTATGTTATATGACAGCATAATAATGGACTGTCTGAAACTCTGGACCATCTTTTATTGTTTTGTCAGAAGTATGATCCAGCGAGAGAAGAATACAAAATGGATTTAGAGAGACTGGAGAGGAAAATATCAGCAAATGTACTAAAGAAAGATTCCAGTGACAAACGTTGGAAACCTCTTCTAGAGTATTTAGGGTCAATCAGACTAATGTAGAGAATATGAGAAATAAGTTTTATTTATTTTTGCTTCATTAGTTTCCTTTTGTTTGTTTAATTATTTCGTTTTCTTTGTTTTGTTGTCGGATCAGAGAGAGTACAGATCTTTAGTCTTCACACTCCAGATTAGTGGGTGGCGGTAATGCACCAAAAACCTGTTTGCCAACCGCCATTAAAAACAAAAGAAGAAGAAGAAGTATTCGTAGAAGTAGAAGAAGTGAACGAAGATGATATAGCTCTCATCAGACGGCTCTGGCTGCAACAAGTTAAAACTGTGCGTTACAAGCGAATTAATATGAGACACGATAACAGCTAAACAACAAAAGAGTATTTTAAGACTCGGGAGTCCGTTAGGTCTCAGCTTTAGCTCAGTCAACGACCATGGATTAGCTAACTAGCGAGCTAACGTCACCTGGAGTGTTTTGTTTTTAACGCTTCCGCCGTCTAAACGTGCATGACTTGAAAGAGTTCTGTCCTTCCCACAGGGACAGTAAAAAGTGCGACCTTTAGCATGGACAATAGCGCCATTTATGTCCGAGAAAGAGGCAGCCTTCGCCGCGTCGGTGACATCGTCCTGGCGCAGCCGAAGCCAGTGTCGTCGTGCAGAAGGACAAACCCGTTTGTGCTGAGGAAAGAGCACTTCATATTCACCTACAACGCAGCGGGCAGTCTGAGATACACCACCAAGTCTCTCTTTGACATCGCCCTGTTGTTCGTGGCGGACAACATCCACCACGTGGACTCTCTGGTGGGCTTCCCCGAGCAGATAGGGGACAGGCTTTTCTCAGCAGCAGAGGAGAACCGTGTGTTTTTAAACGCAGACGTTTCTCCAAAAGCCCTGCAGCTGTTCGGTGACGCATATGGGGAGATGGTGCTTGGGTCCCTCTGTCTCAGAAATAGGTGAAGTGCCAACACATGTTAGCCTCCCAAGTTGTACTTCCCAGAGACAGCAATATAATCTCTTGTTTCATTTCTGCAGATTTCCACTCTTGCATGAGAGGATGGGTGAAATAAAAACATTTCACAGTTTGAAGTCTTTAGACCTGTTTGGCTGCAGACTGGGTGACGATCACGAGATATTCCATCACCTAACATCCAGCTCATTGGCCAGGTACTGACTGATTTCTTAGTCCCGATGACGCGATGTGGACAATTGTTAAGGGCCAATGTTAACTAACACATCTGCCTCTTCTTCTTCGTCAGCAACCTAATCCAGCTTTTCATTGGTGGTAACGGTCTGTCGGATGTCGGCCTGCAAAGATTGACCGCACCTATCCGGATGCTGAGGAAGGGACTGCACTGTCTTCAGCTACTTGATGTTTCCTGTTAGTACCCACAGTCACATTTTAGTGGCACCGCAAATACCACCACCTCCAGATCTAAGAATGTAGTTGTTGACATCCATCATTACTCTGTTTCTTGTACAGACAACCCTATCTCAGTGAAGGCTCTGAGATACCTCACATGCCTCCCAAAACTTGAAAATCTTGACGCATCTGGGACCAGTTTGAAGGTACAAGGGTAATGGTTGTGCGTGTAAACACTTGGCTGCAGCTATATTGTGACGCTGATGTCTAAATGCATTTCTTATCTCCAGCTTGGCGCTGGACTGAAGACAACCATGTGGGACCTGTTGGGGCTCATTCATTCCGAGAAACCGCTGGACACCTTTGATCACTCGAGATGTAAAACAGAAGGTTGGGCAGAGCAGGTAAATGTTTTCAGACGTCGGTAATAGTAGACGTGTTTCTGTGATGCAAGCAATGTAGTTTAATTTGGGCTAAATGTTGCGACATCTCGTAAATAAATGTTTCCTTTTCAGGTTGTAAACCAGTGGGAAACAAATAGCTCACAAATGCCAAAGCAGAAGAAAATTGATGAATCCAGAACATCAGCACTTCGCTTTTGTAAGATAATTTTTGCGTCTCATTCACATTTTGCTTTGCTATTTATAAAAGACAAGATCATGACTAATGACTATGATTATATCGTAAGTGTTTTTGTTCTCTAGTTGGCAGGCAGAAGTTTGTCAGAGAAGTACTGAATGCTGCACCTTTGGTATGTGAGAGCGAGAAGGAGGCCGAGAGGGAGAGACTGCATTTCTTCAGACCTGCAGCAAACAGTCACGTACCAGTGAAACAGAATCCTCCCGCCAGAAGTCACGAAGGGAAGCCTTCCTGGGACAATATCAAAAAAAGGCAGCGTCAGTCAGGAAAGCCGGACAGTTCCCATCGAAGTCCTCCACCAAAACGTTTGTCTTCATCAGCTCTGTCTGCGGAGGACATGGACTTGTTGAACAGCTACTGAGGTATGCCACCATGCAGCATGCCGCGGAGAGCGGCTCGAGCATGTCGGCTAACCGGTAACATTTAGGCTCAAATTAACAATTATTTTTCCCGAGATGATTCACGCTGGTGAACTGTAAACACCTTTTCTTGGATACAGGTGGCGTGAATTTTTATAAATAAAGTTGAGTATTATTTATAGTCCACTTCCTTGCTTGACGTTTTGTTGTTTGGAGACACAGTCTAGCTGATTTTTAGTTGAGAATTTTATATGGAATAGGCTGAACTGAGGCTCAATGCCAACAACATGGTAATCTAAAGGTGGTTGCCTTATTACCTAATCTTTATAGAGAGACCCTGTGCAAGGTTTATGTTCATTTGTTGTTCTTTTGTTGCATATTTCTGAAGGACTGTTAATAGTGTAGTGCGCGGTGCCCCCGCACGCTTTCTTAATTTTGAATTTTTAATCAATAAAAAAAATTATTTTAATTTTTTTATTTTTTATTAAAAAATATTTTTTATTTAATTTATTCAAAATGATCTCTTATCAAAATGTTTTAATTTATCAAGAAAGAAAAAGTAATAAATAAATAAGAGGCCTTTTGTTTGAAATGAACAAAAGTGGAACAAGGGGCCCTCAGCTGTGGATGCGTGAACTGAGAGGACCCTTGCCGGCGACAGACAGACCCGAGCTGCCGTCGGAGTGACCACGGATCCACGGCACTTGTGCCCCGCTGTCCGGTCACTCCCTGTGAGCGCCCCTGATTGCAACGAGAGGCTGCGAGAAGGGGGAGAGAGGCGAAGTTCAGTTCTCTCTCTATGTGAATCACTCACCTGGCCTAATGTAGCTCACCCCTCCCTGATTTGCCTCAATGCCTCCGCTTAAGAGAACCTCGGACCGGTAGCTGATTTGCCCTAAATGGTAATAAATCGCCAACACGAGCCCAGTATCGATAGCTCGTTTGCTTTCTTTTCCGAATCGCCAAACAGTGATGTACTAAACAGTATAATCGGTCGCTCGAATAGCCGTCGGTCTTATAAATTATTTCATTGAATTTATTTATTTTATATTAAATTTAAATGTATCCGTCCCTGCTCAGAGCTCAACAGATGTAAAGCTCTTTCAAAATCAAGCGGGACTTCTCCGGGTCTCTCTTCACTATAGAAAACTGGCGTGAGTATATGTAGATGTGTGTGCGCATAAAGTATGCAATCAGTTGTGTGCCGTGCTGAGATCGCTACAGACTTACCACAGGGGCTGAGTGGTCCCCTAATCGGAGGAGACCTCTCCTCTGCAGGTTTTCCAAAACGGATGAAGAAAAAAAAGAGTCGGTCGGAAAAAGCTAAATCGTTACTTATTTATTTTTGTCCAATTCAAAGTATATTCTCTTGGTTCAAATACAGAGAAAAAGTGATCAACAGGAAAATATAAAAATCAACAAAGTATTTTAAAAACCTCTTGTGCCCTCAGCTGAGCAGGCTGTGTTCAATTGTCCGGTGAAAAAAGTTTAAAGATGAACCCAGCGCAGGTTCTAACCTGGTGGGCTTCTCCCCCGACTCAACCCTTTTCCTTGAAGACCGAGAATACTTATACTCTCTAACAATACCTGGGGCTTGGTGCCTCCGTGGGTTATGACAGTATCAGCCCTGGATGATCGTACTGTTTATCCAAGTCAGCAGTATATGCCAACACAATTATATCGGCTGGTACTCAGGACACATGACACACCCCGCTCACTGGTTGATGCCTTCAGGACACAGAGATACATGACACTCCAAACAATACATGATTATAAAACATAAAACACCTTTTTCCCCAGCGTAAGATTAATACCAGGGTATTCTTATTTATATGTACCCATTTGCGTAACTGGCGTCTAAATGCAGGAATGCAGACGTGGTCCTATGACCCCAACTGAAGTTTCAATTAGCCCTAAAGGGATAAGTAACTACCGTAAATGCAGAGACGTGATCAAGTGCTGGTGCTTAAGGCAACCGGGAAAGACCATAAGTAATAAATCGTGAGTGCAGAGACTGGATGGCGCCTGGGCCTCGGTATTTCCAGAGCGCCCATCATGCGGGCAGCTGTGCAAACCTCACATCTCCACCATATTGCTCAGCTAAAGGGTTAATGCAGAATGCAAACCTCAGCAGGTGCCTTCTGTGTGAACCTCTGTGCAATGGTGGGGAAAGCCCCCCCAAGGTCTGCTACCGTGTGTGTGTGTACGCTCCCCTCCCCCGTACGTCCGTACGCAGAGGGTGTGTGACAACAGAATCCTGGCCGTTTAACAGGTACATTCTTACAAGAAACACAGCTTCCTATTTCTTTTATTTTTCAAAATTTTTATTTGTTTTTTAAGGTGTTTAACACCTAATAACCCTGGCCTTCCGTCTAGGAGCATCACAATTTCGCAAAACACTCCATGTCCAACAATAGAATTAATGGAATTGTTGAAACCTCGATGGGCAGTTTAAAAAAAGGTATTTTCTCACCCTCCACATGACCAGATATTTTATTTTTTTAACTTTCAAACTTGTACTCCACAGCCCCAACTGACGCAAGTGACATAACTTGAGGCAATGTATCACACTTTGCGCTGCTCCCTCTAAAGCCACAAAAGGCTTTAACCAGCTTTTTCCATTTGTGCAATAGTACTCCCCAAGACCTGTAAACAGACTTTGATGTGTAGAGGCTGTGCAGTTCTGCCGCAAATCAAATTACCACACAGCAACCTGGAGGCTAGGGAGTATACCAACGCAGAAACACTATATATAGCACAAGGAGGGGGAGAAAAAGGGGGTGTTGCAGGCAAATTCAGACATCACATAAAGATATTCACACTAAACGCGCTAATTTAAAAATGTAGCTGTATTTACAGATTACATTCATATTCCACATCTAGTGGTAATTAAGTTGTGATTCATCACTGCACATGCAATCGCTTCGACATTTCATAACCCTTAAATAAAGATTAGTGATAAAACCGTCACTTTCATCACACGAGAAAACTAGTGCGATTATCTGCAGCCTTGCGTAAACAATTACGCCCTTAAAAATAGTTACTTAAATCCCACAGCTTCATTCTTGCGTTTACAGAGACTCCACGTTACTACAGTATGTATATACAGTATATAATAAAAACAAACTCACCCATGTCAACTTCCCTCCATTGTTTTTAATCCCGATCAATCATGAGAACAAACAGTGAAGCAGGACAGTAGGTGTTACCGTGTGTACCGTCACTATTAATTGAGATGAGGAGCATAGAATTTTATTGTAAAATCCAACTTCTGTAAATCATTGCAGTAGAAACATGAGAACGTACAGAGAGCATATTAGCACAATCTATATGACAAAAAGAGCATTTGGGTTAAAATCACTTCAAGTCAAACATTTCATTTAACCATTCAATAAAATAAGCACACCAAGAGAGCTAATGCACACTTTGAAATTGAAGAAAAATCCCAAAACATATTACATGTACTGCCGATTACTTTAATGCCTCAATTATACCAATATACAGAAAAATACCCTTTCATCACTTCAATTTTAAAAGCATCAAAAGGGAGACGAGACATTACATCAGTTATACAAAATCTTCTGCAAGTAGTTGCTCCTGTTTAGCCCAAGAGAAGCACAGGTCTGGAGCCAGAGGATAAAAATCAACCAAATATTATTCATAAAAAGAGGAAATCCCTTCTCTGCTACGGCTTTGGCCTCTAGACATCGGACTGGCTCAGGTTGACTTTGGAAGGGAGCGGCCCGGCCTCTACCTCTGGCCCTTTGGAGGTAATGATCAGCAGGGAGGATGCTGGGTATGGAGTCAGTTTCTGCTCCATTCCGTTCTCCCGGTCACCATAGATGCTCAATTTCTGAATGAAAAAGAAGAGGAAACTATTTAAATATTGTTTTGGCTTTGACATTACCAACATAAATACTCAAAAACTAAAGATAATCACAACCTTGAACATAACTACAATGGGGGGGGGGGCACAGAACTTACCTCAGCAGGAATATACTGGTCAACAGCAGTTGCCACCGTGGCACAGCAGATCCAGATCAGGACCAGCACAGACAGGACCAGAGTTGTGGTTAGGATCCACCCTGGTAGCCACGGGTTCCTGAGGAGACACACGCAAATATGAGCAACTTGCCTGACTGGTTCTGTTAATGTCATGCTCTACGAATCAAGTCAACAGTGTAACCCCCTTGACAGTGTGGTTGAATGTGTTACAAACCTGGAGAGACAGTTGAAGAGGTTGTAGTCATCATAGCTGCTGTCCCGGGTCATATCTCTGTCCCTCTCCTGGATTAAAGTGCGATGGTATTCTTTGTAAACTGGGCTCAATCCGGGAACTTGAAAATGAGAAATAAAACTTATTTTACATGCACGCACATGTAATCTTTTTACTTCCCTGATGATTTTGAAGGGGAAAAAAAAAAAAAAAAAAAAAGCTGGAATCTGTCTGTCTGTCTGTCTGTCTGTCTGTCTGTCTGTCTGTCTGTCTGTCTGTCTGTGGCACTTAAGGCACCAGTGCACTCTGTCTGAACTGAGGAACCCTCCCTGCACAACCGTTCTGATGTCGGATAAGAGCTAAAATCTATGATCTGACATCCACTTCACGACGAGATTGGTTGGCCATACGTAGGTGAGAATGGAGCCGGGGTTTGCGCTTACTTCACAAGCTCGCATTTTAAATTTTGTACACAACTTCTCTTGTGAATGTCTTCAGGATGACTGACTGAAAATATACCAGTGTTATCCCTACATTTAAATGATATTGCGTCCCCTCTCAATAAGACTACCAGCTTGTCTCTCTTCTTCCAGTGTTATTCTACCCAACCCGTAGCCCCAACCCGTCCCCCCCCCCCCCCCCCAAGACTCTGACGATATAAACCAACTGGTCACAGATATACACACCATCTAAAAAAGGGCTAAGTCATCTTCTAAAATAGCAGAGTACTCCATTTTCTGTAAAAACTTAAATTAAACATTGATAAATAATGCATTTGTTTCAGCAATACTTGTAAAGACACTTTAATTGTTGTGTTGTAAGAAAACTGAGTGGAGGACTTACAGCTCTTCTGTGGCTCCTCTCCGAAGTCTTTTTCCACTTCAAACTGGGAGAAAAACTTGACTTGTGGTTCAGTCTATTAAACAGAAGGCCTGAGTCGGATATCTAACATTGTTCTTCATTGCACTTGGACAGTAACAAGATGTTTGCATTACAGTATGTTGGATTAGATTGCCTAGTACACCCCCCCCCTCCTCCTCCTCCTCCTCCTCAGTACAATACCTGGAAAATGACAACTTTGCCATCATCAGCCTGGAGGTAGAAGATCCACGTGGAGGTGATGAAGCTGTGGGCCTGACTCATCATATCCTCCCAAAACCCTCTGACCAGAGTCAGGGGGTACAGCAGGTGAATCCTAGGCATCATGGCCTCCAGCTAGAAAAAAAACAAACAAAACAAGCAATACTGAGAACACGGTTCTTTATTGAGAGGTTTGCATATCAACACAGACCACTGAGTCATTGTGTACTTATAATTGACAGGCATGGCCTGTGTATGTACCAAACAGGTATTACCTGCTCGTGCCGCTGCTCAGCAAACGGAAGCTGGTTCTGACAGCCCAGGTTGCATGCGTACTGCTCATCAAAGTGGGTGTAGGCTTCACGACAGGCTGCGGGGGGTTTGAGGTGGTGAGAGATGTTTAAAAACAGGGATAACAAGCGACATCATAGAGGTCTGGACACTGCATCAAATAGGTTAAAGGTTCGGTGCACAGCTTACTTGATTCACACTCGGATTTCGTCTGATTAAGATCGTCGCCGTCACGAACAAACTGACAAATGGAGAACAGACGGCAGCCTCTCTGACAGGCATAGAGTTCTTCCTCCTACAAAACAAACCACAGGACCAGTTGATTGCCTCGACAAACAACAACAAACAACAACAACAACCGTGAAAGACGACTCACGTCCAACGTTCATACAACTGCCCCCCTTCACAAACAACATTTCATTAGACTAAAGACGTAACAAAGTGATTGTAGGGCCCACTTTCGCTTCGCCCAAGATACCAAACGTTAGCTGACGCTAGCAGACATTACTTTGCTCCTCGAGAGGAGTAACGTTACTCACCCGTGGATACGTGTGCAAACTGTACGTCATTTCACATGACTTGTGGCAAGATGCTGTGTTTCCCAAGACGCTGTCGAACACATCTGCAGATCCTGATGTGCAGGCGAAGAGTCCCAACGCGCAGACAAAGAAGGAAAGAGTCCCCATTTTGTCAGCGAAAACCTAAACAAACAACACACTCTTCTTCTTCCTCCTATTTAATCGGCCTGTTATCTCGCGGGAACTGGGACTCACGCGAGACTGTTAGTGTAAACTTGTGCTGTATTTATGTGCGCCTCGTAAACTCCTCGATTCTTCTAATTTAGTAGATATGAAAATGATAACCAGTGTGAAAATATCTTCTTCTTCTCTTGGAAAGGAACTGTTGTTGTTAGACATAATTTTGAGCAGGCTTGTAATAATAAGACTTGTAATAACTTGTGTTTCTTAAAATGCCTCATTTCAATGTTATGCTATATTAGTTTGAGTTACATGTCATATATAGTTTATTTAATTTTGAGTCCTATGCTCTTTTAACTATGCTGAGATTTGTTTAGTTTTTTCTTTTGTTCCTGGTTAAGTGTATAAATTGACAAACTGGACAAACTGGCCATCACTCTGATGAACAATAAATAAGTTATACTGCACTACTGCCACCACTTACAATTCATGCCATTGTCTATAGGTTTATGTTCACATGTATATATATATATATATATATATATATATATATACACTTTTTCTCTCGGATATATATTTATACTTATATTGTATATAGCTGTTAAATGTTTATACCTACATCCGTTCTACTTTTTTGCTGCCCTTTTTTATTCTTTATACATATATTTTCTTGTTTATTGTAAATTTGTGTTTGTACATTGAGAGCGGAGTGGAAACCGGAGACAAATTCCATGTATGCGTAAGCACAGCAGTAAAAGTACTAATACCATACTGATGAAACAATCCACGACGAGTAAAAGTCCTGCATTCAAAACCTTATTATGCAATTATGTTATAATCAGCAAGATGTACTTTTACAGAAAAAAAAGATTTTGACAGTGATTTGCCTTCATATCCGTGTGTGTTTTTCACCTGGAACTCTAGCTAATTTGAATCAAATAAATAATCTAAATTAAGTTGACTGTATTGGCTTTTCTGAATGAATATATACAGTATAAATACATATCTTTGGTGTTTTGGTGAATGTAAAGTAGAAGTGCTAGTATCTTTTTAAATTGTGATTTAAACAACACTGAAGCTGATCAATAAAGCAAACAAAGTTACAAATATGTTAAAAATTGTATTTTAGGTGCTGGTTAATAAGGTGCTGATTGGCTAATAAACAATAATGACAAACAGGTGACAATCATCGCTATCAGGCATATGAATATTTTTAATAGTAAACATTTTTCAATGGTAATTATTTAGCTGTCATTTAATAATAAACAGACAGTTGTGAACTACTTTAACATCTTATCTTTCTAAATGTGAATCACTGATATAGCTTGAAGTGGGCCGGTACTTTCCAGAACACAGTACCACTTGTACATTTTACTCTTTGGTGTAAAGTGACTTTTTACTTGAGCACCGACACTTGTCACTAGGTGTTGGTGCTCCTTTCTGCCCTCTACATATCAGGTTCTCTGGGTGATTCAAGATCAAACGTTGCAGCAACAGTGTTTTATTGTGAACCTCAACATTATTTTATTATTTAGTTTTCTGAATCTTTTAAATTAAAGAATTATGGTACAAACTTCATCAGAATAATTAATGCATAACATGTGTCAAGTGTCACCTGTGTATGCTTTACATATCATGGCACCATCTTGTGGTTGAGAAAAAAAATACAACAAGTTGGATCCAAACTAAATAGTAACAGTTGAACTTAACATCTATTAAATTCGGTCTCACCGATAAAGTACATTTAAATTAAAACGATGTTGTGATAAATCAAAAGTCAGAATTCACTGTGTGTGTTCATATCAGTCTGAGTGAAAAGCAGCAGAACAACACATGGAAGTTACAATGAGCTCCTTAAAATCTGCCTCTTCTTTTATCTCTTTTCTTATGAGTTGTTGAACCAACTTCAGCCTGTATTTATTAATTGCATTCATTAATGTATTAATATTTATGTATTTTGCTGTATCTATTAATACGATTGATGCCTATTTGCTGAATTTTGTAGTATGTGGACTACGCTCCCACCTTGTTGGGTTGACTCTGTTATTTCCGACAGCACCTGAACGCAACATCGGTCCCTGCTGTTTGCCATTTAGCTGCAGCTAGCTAGCTTTACCAAACAGATTAGTGACCGTTTGTGGTCTTAAATTCAACTATCAACTAGTGGGGGATGGACGAATGACTTGAACCAAGCGGGCAATGATTTTAACACATTGTATTTTATTCGGAGATCATAGTTATCTCGGTAGCGTTAACCAGGTAGCTAACTGCTAATAGAGCTAACAGCTGTTAGCACTGATGGTGTCTGGACACTCCTTCTGACCTGAGCTTCGTTATTGGCGACCAATTCGCTTTGATTGAACTAAGTGTTACCTGTTTAATCATCAGCTATAGTTTCGTCAAAACCAACCAGTCTACCAACCAGTTGCTACTTTATATTTTGAGGATGGACAAGTTTGTAGTGCGGCTGCCCAAAGGGGAAACACCTATAACATCCAAAAGCAACGAAAAGGTTTACAAACAGGCAACCATTGAATCTTTACGGGTGAGCTGTCATATGTGAATGAACGTTATTCCGTGACAGACAATTACTTCAGTCACTCATTGCCCTTGTGTTTGGTCTGTTACAGAGGGTGGTTGTGATCGAGGATATCATGCGCTACAAGTCCATCCTGGAGCTGCCACAACAGAGCAAGGACAACCTGCTGACCGCCTTGACAGAGCTGAGCAAGAAGATCCCATCCAGGGAGGTGCTCAAGTCCACCAAAATAGGTAGATTGAGGAAAAACTTCATATTTAGATGTGTTAAAAACGAGCAATGCTTATGCATCGCTGTGTAGACTGCTGCTGACACACTGTAGATGTGGAAAGCATACTGTGAAGTCGTTTGTACTTTATTTATGGTTTATATCTCTCTGCTCAGGCCGTAACACAATTCAGTTCAATGGACAGTTCATCAGCCCTTTATCAGATTCACATTGCACAAATTGGCTCATCGCATTATGAAAAGCTCCCTCTCCTCTCAGGTCACGCTGTCAACAAAATGCGGAAGCATCTGGACCCTGAGGTGAGTTCAGTGGCTGCGAAGGTTTACACTGACTGGAGGACGTTCATTGAGGAGAATTCCAATAAGCCTGCTATTGAAGTGCGCTCCGACAAACAATCTGAAGGACTCCGGAGCAACGCCAGACGACTAATGTCTGAGGCGCTGGAGGTCAAGGTGAGAAAGAGCGGCTCAGTGAAGTCCAATGTAATGTGTTCCACTCATTCTGTTTTATCCCACCTCTCATTTAGATGTGACATAACATTGGATGTGATATTTTGGGAATATAAATTGATGGAGAATTCATCATGTTTGCTGCAATTCCATTGACATCCTTTCCTATATCTGTTTGCTTATGCATGTGTGTTCTTGTCTGACCTACAGGAGGATTCTGGTCTTATAGACAACATAGAGAGAGAAGTGTTTCACCAGAGCTCCCGCTTAGTCAGCAGTTCATACAGACGGACTGTTAGAGCGCTGGTGTTTGCCTTCAAACACAACCCTGATATCCGGACTCAAGTGAAGGACAACACAATATCAGTCAACCAGCTGGTTTCTAAATACAAGAAATAACTGAAGACTTCTGTTTTTATACTTGAAATTTGTTAAAACTTTACAAATTTTCTTTATTTTCTGTAAAGGGGATACAAAATATTTTTACACTTTATGGCACATTAGCAGCCTTACGATGTTTTATAAATGCATGTAAAAAGAAGTACTTTATTGTTGGTGGTCATGATAATGTCATCCCTTTATACTGGAATCATTCCGTTTTTTTTTTGTTGATCTGTTTTTATACTGTTGGTGAACATTTTTATACAAAATATAATTGAAAATAAGACGACGTAAGCTTTCGAGTCCTTTGTTAAGACCATATGTATAACTGTGCATATAATTCTAAAGCAGCACCAGCCAAACAATAGCTATCACCATGAGAATAACAGCCAAAACACAGATGCTGATGAAAACGATGTCGCTCAGGTCATGAGGCACAGCTTCCGGACCCCCTGCATCGTCACTGCTGTCATTGTCAGTTTGCTGGGCCTGCTCCTCGAGACGTCGCTCCTCTGCCGAGATGATTGACACTGACGCTATCTTCCGCAGGGCGTCACACTGCACTTTATACTCTTGCACATTCTGCTGCTTCCCATCAGAGAAATCGATGTAGAGTTTGTTTACCAGCACTGTGATGTTCCGGTGTTTCTGCAAGGGATCAGGTGTTTCAGCATTAACAGAAGTCTAGTCACAACATCTTTAACACAAAGTATGGTAAATCGTTGCCTATTATGATGTACCAGTAAGTGATATGAGACTGTGGCTAGTCACCTGGCCAGCAGTACCACAGTTGACAAACTGAGCAAGTATCTTATATGAGGTGGCTGTCAGCTGGGCTGCACAGGTTTTGTTTCCCAGGTAGATGCTCTCACGGTCCAGGTGAGGTAAGGACTGCTGTGGTATCAATATGGTGAATTCTGATCTTGTGCAGCTAACCTTTACAGGTACCACTTGATTTGAGGGGGGAAGACGACACAGTGTTTAGTATTTTTTTTGCACGAAGAGTTTGATATTTAGACTGAACATTGTAAGCAAAAGGGGTTGAATGGCTTAAACCTACAGTGCACACAGTATAAGTAGAATCAACCACATAGGGAACATGTACCTCCAAGATAAGAAGCAGTGAACCCTCTATGAGCCTCATTTCTGTCTGCACAGAGGACCACCAGCAACTTGTTGCCCTTTGAGACGAGAAAGGGGGGTTGCTCCCTGCCACACCAGCGGCCCAGCAGGGCGTCTGTCTGACTGTCACCATCGTAAACGGCGACATAGTCATAGTCACACTGGTCTGACAGACTGTTGCGGTCTTCCAAGTCCATGACGGGGAAAAAGAGTTTGATGCGGTACCCAGCTGCTAGAGTGACGCTCCAGTGGCAGTTGATGTTGTTTGGGTAGATGTTTGGGAAATGCGGGCTGCTGAAGTTGCCATTTACAGCTGACAGGACCTGCTGGCATTCACCTTTTAAAGCACAGTTGATCAGAAAAAGTTTGTCAACTTTATTTATATTGGAGTCATTCAGTGAGGATCATTTTAGATTGCTGCATTCGTTTGATATGAGTGACACTACAGAAAGTACAAGTTTCTGTTTATAGAAGTATTATTGGCGAAATAAGATTACTCCTTTACAGTTTAAGGAATAGTTCCACATTTTATGAGAAAATGCTGATTTGTTTTCTGCCTGAGACTTTATTGAGAAGATCAATACTACTCTGATTTGTGAGAGTACTATCAGTCTTCTCATATAACTCTTTGCAAAAAAAAAAAAAAAAATGCAGCATTTTCACCCTCTTACCAATTGGTTTATGCTCGACAAGGTGAAATGGGGACAGTCTGTGATCGGCTTTCCAAAAGTTATCCTGCAGTGTTTCGATTTGATTCAAGTCTGTGCTGCGGCAAGAACACTCAAGGACTTTTACTTTGGGGACTTTTTCTTGTTCGTGGTAGGGATGGTGTGAGACCGTTGATGAGCTCTGCTCTATTCAGAGATAGTGCTTTTCATTGTAGCAGAGGTGTTTAATTTTCATTTCATCAGATGACAGGTTCTTTTGTGTCATGTTCTAGGTCTTTATGTGTGCCTTGTTTCAAACTTCCAGTATGATGTAATGTGTTTTTTCCCCCCTGATTTGTTGTAGCTTTTCTGCTCTGTATAGGCAAATAAATAGGATTTCTGTGAATGTTGCTTTACGCGAACCCAAATGTCTGACAGAATAATAGTATATCACATCCTTTTTCATTTACAATTCCTGCAGCTACCCCAAAAAAACAAGGCAAAGGGGGTTATATACTGAAAGCACTTCATAGGCCTATTGCATACTGGGGTGAAAAGTTTATATTTGGAATACAAATAAACACAACAAACTTTCCAACCTGAGTAATAGTAGGCCTTGAACCCACGTCCACCAATGTTGAAGTCGGACTTGAAGATCACCAGAAGATGGTTGGACGTGGTGACTATGTTGGGGGGTTTGTCTGCACCGCAGTAGTTACCCAGGTGGCGATGAGTGACTGTCGGGCCATCAAACAAGGCGACAAAGTCAAAATTACATCCCTCGTTGTTTTCCAGCTGGAAGTCCAAGAAGACCAAGGTGACCACACTGGTATTGGACATGTGGATGGCCCAAGAGCAGTCGGCATTGTTGCTGTACTCCTGAGGGTAGCCCGGACTGGAGATCACACCTGATAGGCCAGTTAAGACCCCACCGCACATATCTAGAAAAAATAGAAGGAAAACTATATGCACCTTACATTTTTCTTTTTGAAAAAGATTAACGCTACAGACGACAGTTTGGGAGTACAATGACCTCTAGAGAGGGTTGTAAAGATTGCAAAGATATTGAAGGTCCTTGAAAGATACATTCTAATGACTTTGGTGATCCACTGACTTTTACTTCAGCACCAATATGTTTTTTTTAGTGAAATACCTCAACAAATATTTAATCTAAGCTAATATAAGCTGTCAAATTTGATACAGACATTCATCGTCCCCGGAGGATGAACCGCAATAACTTAAATCCCCTGGCCTTTCATCTAGCACCATCTTTGGGGCAAATTTTGCTTTTTGAGTGAAAGTTACATGTTAACACACTAAGCTCAGATGATGAACATGGTAAATTATACTGGCTAAACATTATTATGATAGCATTATCATTGTGAGCATGATCATTTGTTGATGTGAGCATTTAGCTCACAGCCTCACAGAGCCTCAGTGAGCCTTCTGTATAATGTTTTGGTGAAATTAAGTGCTCCTGTGAGTTTAAGGTCAAGAAGATTTATCTAAATTCCATGAATTATGGTAGTGCCAGAAAAAGTCAACCCAGGTTTTGAGCAGTTGGCCCACTGATCGCTGTCATATTGCATCAACTATAACGAGTTACCTTTCCTGTAGCCAACGCTGAAGCCCCCGTAGGCCACATGGCGGTCTGAATGGAAGAGGATGGACATGACATTCCAAGAAGAGGTGAACTGTGGAGGGGAGATGTCACCACAAAATGTCCCAAGGAGGTTCCCCTCGTCTTCAGATATGCCATTGTAGATCTTGATGTAGTCGTAAGCACAGTTGGCATGGTACTCCAGCTCAAAGTGGTGAAAGGTCAGGAGGACGGAGGAGCCCTCTGCCACAACAATAAGCCAGGAGCAGTCAATGCTGTAGGGATACAGGCCTGGGAAGTTTGGACTGGAGATATTGCCAGATGGTGCAGAGAGGATTCCTCCACATTTGACACCTTGTAATGACAATAAAGTTGAATTTCAGCTCAGGAGAAAAATAGTCTGAATACGATTCATGGCTCTTTCCTTGCTTACTTATTTTCTTGACTTATTTCTTTTCTAGCAACCTGATACAACCCCTAAAAGTGCATTACAAGCTGACATTGAACAATTGAGGCCCAACTTTTTTTCTGTATATACAGTACCTGCAAGATAAAGCACTTCCATCAAATTTAAGCTTTGCTCCATCGAGATAACAAATAGCAACTCACCTTTTTTTGAATTAGCCTTGACAACAAGCAGTAGCAAATGAATCAGTATAGCCACCGTGAGACTCATGTTGTTATTGTTGATTCGGCTTTTGTCACGCCTTACGACAATACCAGCAGAGACAAACAACGGCAGTGTCAGAGTGCACAGCCTTGAGACATCAGCAGTGATGCCTGTAGAGGTAATAGGACTTTGAAAAATTCATTCACTGCCTGAATGAGAAACCTGATACCATACGTAAGGCCACGCTTTGCCCTCTTCGCTAAATTTTAATGACTGATATCCGATGAGCATGAGTGGCTTGTCGGGACACTGTTTGGAGAGATTGCATGCATTTTTAATGATGGTCTCACACACATACTGAACACTAGCCGCAAGTGGAGTTGATAAAAGAGACAGGAAGAAAGAAAGGAGGAGTATCACATTTGTCACTAATATAAATGGCTTCATTAGAGCGATGTGAGGGAGAGGATCCCAGAACTATTGATGTCGTGGACTAAGGGGCACTGTGTGGATGTTGCTTTTCTTGTGAAACACAAAGACATCCACATCTTAACTTTGAAAAGGAATGTAAATCTATGAAGAAAATCTTTTTAAAATCGATTTAACCTTTATTTAACCAGGTTCAACCAATATAGATAAAATCTGATTGAGTTAATGCATGTTGATTTATTACATACTATAAAACAATAACAGCAACACATTACAGAGTAAAGAGTTAAGTCCTTGTATTAACAGAAGACATGACAAAATTGCTACGTGTTGTTGCAGGAACAGTTTGTAGTTTAATCTTTTGTTAACTTTTGGTTATAAGTAGTTAGAGAGATGAGGGTATATGGTACAGTGTATTGTTGAGCATGAGATGAAGACCACGAGATGAAATGAAAAAATGAAATATCCTCAAATCCTTCACTTTAAGGAATAGTTTGACATTCTGGGGAATGTGGTAAATGAGTTACTTGTCAAAAGTTAGATGAGAAGATTGATACCACGCTCATGGCTGTCCATTGAAGATGACGATACAGCCAGGAGACAGTTAGCTTAGCTTAGCACAGAGACTAGAGGCATGGGGCAAACAGCTAGCCTGGCTCTGTCCAAAGGCTAAAAAAAAATACTACCAGCTTATATATACTTTATATAATTTGGTTTGGGGTCTGTGGGGTAACTATTCATTCGGCAGGAGCAGTGACATCCTGGAGTCTCTTAATGCTAAGCCAAGTCTCCTGTCTGCTTCATATTTAACTGACAGAGTGGTCTAACTCTCCAACAATGTATCTCGCGCTGATCCGTTCAACACCACTCTAATATTCCATCATAAGTAGTCATCATATACATTTTAATCTATTTAAGTGTTACAGCATTTGCATTTTGATGTAATCAAAAATAAAAGTGCCCGCTGCAAGAAGTCCTTCCTGTCCCTGCTGTTTCTGTTACCGCTGAGACTCACACATGCAGCTTGTACTTGAGTATAATATTACATCCTACATCCTGTTCTGTCTACGTTTTTAACAGTGTGTCATACTGTGTATCTAATTAGCTCATCATATGTTTTGCATATGCACGCGTTTTTTTTTTGTCTGTAATTAATACCTAATTGCAGCTGTCCAATAAATGTAGTCCAGCAAAACGTTCTATGAAATAAAGTTGACTTGTTAGTAGAAGTCACTGGTCATCGCAAGGT